AACTATGGTTTTTACACTTCAACAATGATTTTTTTTTATTTACCAACACAGAGTTTTTAACTTATGATGAGTTTTTATTACTTAGGTAGGTAATACCTACGCTTGGTCGCGGATGGACCAACTAGAACTAAACTCGCTAAGTATATCAATATCAGTAAGTATATCACACATTCAAAAATCTTTATACAGTTTATAGGTACTCCGTTATATTCCTACCTCGGTAAAATCAAGACAATGTAGTTATAATTAAGAAAAACATAGTCGTCAACACCAACCGTTTTAAATCGAAAAAAATGGTTTATTTCGGTTTTAAACGGGTTTTTTCGTTTTAAACGGATAGGTTTAATTGGTTTTAAACCGGCCTTACATCTATAATCGCAAGATCAGTTTCGTCAGTGACGTAGGAACAAACTGGCTCCTTCGATACAAAATTAAACGATGACTATATGATTACGGAGCTGTCAAAATTCGTGCTTGCTGTATTCGTATCGCTAACTTCAAAGTTTCTATGGAAACTAAGCAGCGCCCCTACCGGACGTAAGAACAAACTGGCTCCTTTCATACAAAATTTGACGATGACGATATGATTACGGAGCTTTGAAAATTCGTGCTTATGCTGCATTCGTATTGCTAACATCAAAGTTTCTATGGAAACTAAGCAGCGCCCCCACCGGACGTAAGAACAAACTGGCTCCTTCCATACAAAATTTGACGATGACGATATGATTACGGAGCTTTGAAAATTCGTGCTTATGCTGCATTCGTATCGCTATCATCAAAGTTTCTATGGAAACTAAGCAGCGCCCCTACCGGACGTAAGAACAAACAGGCTCCTTCCATACAAAATTTGACGATGACGATATGATTACGGAGCTTTAAAAATTCGTGCTTATGCTGCATTTGTATCGCTATCATCAAAGTTTCTATGGAAACTAAGCAGCGCCCCTACCGGACATAAAAACAAACTGGCTCCTTCCATACAAAATTTGACGATGACGATATGATTACGGAGCTTTGAAAATCCGTGCTTATGCTGTATTCGTATCGCTAACATCAAAGTTTCTATGGAAACTAAGCAGCACCCCTACCGGACCTAAGAACAAAGTAGCTTTTTCCATAGAAACTTTGACATGGTCACACGAATATTTTCTCACTAGTTGTTCGTGCTTCTTGAGGTACAGGTATTAAATACAGAAAGTTGTTAGTGTATATTCATTATGCAATAAAGACTAGTATAACACTAACAAACATCGTGAAAAGGTAATAGAAAGTATATCTGGTAATTAATTATTATACCTTAATACATTTTTATATAAGTGGTACATAGAAGGTACTTATAAGATTACATTTTTAATTTTACAATAGGTCAACATGGCAACTTTTATCACATATCGAAAGTTCATTACGCCCATTCAAAACAAGATTTAAATACACAGCCAATGTTTCTGCCTTGAGTTAGCCCTGTCAGTACCTAAAGGTCCTAGCTTTTGTAAACCTAGGCGACCCACGATTAGGGGTAGAAAAGTATAAGAGCAACTTGGGTTTTTTGCAACATACATACTTAGTTACTTCTTGTCGAACAAGTTTCTTAATATTAGCAGGCAACAATGGGAAATAAAAAGCTATCTATCTTACAAATACTAACAAAGTCTGATAGATATAAAAAGCGGTTCCTAACCGTGTTGCAAAATGTTGTTCCACAAAAAGTGACTTCGGCGTAAGCCCGTAGATGCATGCACCATTATCAATATTATTTAGACGAAGAGACATAACCTCACTGTGGAAGAGACGTTTTATTACTTTTTATTGCTTTAGTTATTGTGACAAGATTATTGACGGTCACTTGCAATTAAAGTAAAGGACCACATGCAGATAAGGTGCTCTACGTCAGCTATGGCTGTTTTTATTACAAAAGCAAACCTCTGAAAAGTTACAGGTTTACAAGGCACTAGGTATTTTCGAGATTGACGTCTTTGGATAATTTAACAATACTTATTAAATTAGTCATCAATATAATTCATCCAGATGGTACATTAGCCTAATCTGATAGCTTACATTTTCGATACAATATTAAAAACAAGAGTTAGGTGACGTCCTCAGTAATTCATTTTATTTCTCTAAGGTCGGCCGTGTAATATGGGCATGTAGCAAGCGGGTACTTTACGTACGTACATACATTAAACGATTTTCGGATAGTTCCAATAATTTTATTATTTAGATTAAAATAACGACTGTCAATAACCAGAACAAGATTATGCATATGTATCTGTTACTGGACTTATTGAAACTGACCGTTAATCCATACGACACGGCATTAGCTTATTTTATGTATAACAATAAAATTCAATCAACAAAGGCATTGTTACATGTTTTTATTTATTTCTAATTTATAAATGTAACAGTCTTCATAATAACATTTATTAACACACTCAATGGTGGACCCACACATCTACGGCGCGCGGCCAACGGCCGGCGTGCCTTTTTTGTAAATAATAAAAGTAAGTTATTGTGAGTAATAATATAGGCCAACATATTCCAACACTACCAACGTATACCACTAACTTAGATGAGGTCAAAACACTACTGAGAAAATTGCAGCCGTCGCTGCAAGCCGCACACTGTTTTAAGAACCTAGATTTTGTGACATGCCCTTTTTATTCCAAATTCCTGTAGATAAAATTATAAACACTAGAAAAAATCTACGATAGTCAGTTTATGAGAAAAAAACTAAATTTTCAAAAATACAATATGACTCTTCTATGAATCATAGTTTTAGTTTTGATTAAAGGTTTGTTATATAGCTTTGTTTAAAGAAAATTATCACAAAATTTGAGCCTTCTAAAGCAAGCCGTATAAACCATATGTTTTATTTATTTTTTCTTTAGTATAACGGCGTATTCGTAAGAATTTTATACACCTCAATATCGAGCTTTGTTGTCTTTGTATACACTATTTTGTTTGCAACCGAATACCGCGTTATGTAAATAAATAAAAACATTTACTAAACATAATTTCGGTTTTAGTTTTGTTATTTTCAGAAATTTGTATTTATAAATAAAATGAGTTCAATCATATAATCACTAAAGGTAGGTGAGTAAGTATGTATTGTTTTAACACATTTGATATTACCTACTTATTGTAATTAGAGAACGGGTTGTATAATTTTAGAATTGCATTTAGGTACAACAAAGTTCGAAAGTTTCATGTATAAATATTATCCGAATACATCGTCATACTTAAGACAAAAGACAAAAAATAGAAAAAACTTTATATCGTCTATACGGTTTGCTTTAAAAGGCTCAAAACTTGTGTATAAGTCTGATAAAATATGTTTAATACAAAGATAATGTTTAACCAAAACTAAAACAATATGAATCATTGAGGAGCTAAATATATATGTTTTTAATTCCTAGCTTCTAAAATAGGTCACCCTTGATTTTTTTTTTCTAGGAAACTACGTACCTTGGATTATTTTCAGTATTTTTCCAATGTTTTTAATAGCTTAATCTTTAGGAATTCTAGATAAAAAGGGCATGTCACAAAATCGAAGTTCTTACAACACTGTGCGGTGGCAAAGTCAGCGGTAAGGCAGTCTGAAATCAGCGGCATGTGTGGATGCACCTTAACACAAACATTATTAGCATATTGACTTGAATTCGATGAACGTCTTCCTTGTCACCACAATCGGCATTCCAATTTTTTTTCTTAACTACAATCATAAGGCTCAACTCACACTGGTGCAGAGTCGAAGCGCGTAGTAAATTCATTTCTATTTTCCAATTTTTAAGGTATTCCATTCACTTATAAGACGATCGCCGATGCGCGGCTCCTTAATACCAAGCTTCATGATTTTGGTCTGTAGCAAATTCACCTCTATTTTGTACTGTTAAGGTATTCCCAAGGCGAAAAACATGACGCGACCTTCGACTCTGCTCCAGTGTGAATTGAGCCTTAGAGTACCTTTACAACATCATATTTACTCCCTTATTTAAAGCATTACTACAAATGGCATTTGAGTTATATGAACAAAACACGGCGTAACAAGAGTCTAAGCTTATTCTAGTTTATTAATAAGGGGGGCTAAAGTTGACAAGTTGCAAACATTGCGTTGATTTATGCTTAGGTTTATATTTCCAACGATGTATCTGACAGCATAAATTAAAAACTACTTGTTAAATTTCAGTGAAACAAACATATAATACATTTTTTATAGATAATTTATAGATCTAAAATTACAGACTGGCTTAATGACGATAAAAAAATCGTCAGCGAAACAATCATACAAAAAAATAGACACTAGCCCAACTTCTATCAACCCCAATTTTTTGGGTTCCGTACCTCAAAAGGAAAAATCCGAACCCTTATAGTATCACTTTGTTGTCCGTCTGTCAAGACCGTTTTTCTCGGGAACGAGTGGAAGTATCAAACTGAAAATACCGCATCAATGGTTGTACCATACCTCGTTGTCCCCATTGCTCTATCAGAAACAATATCGAAATTCAGTTCAGATTTTAACAATTTAGACAACCTCCTCTTTTCTTGGAAGTCGGTCAAAAGAGTTACCATACTAGAAGAGCTCAACTTTATATAATATGACTCGTGTTGACAGAACTATGGTTATCTCTCTTTTTGATGTGAAACATTTTTTGGCGCACGAACGTAAAACCGATTTCTGGCGTGGCGACGGTCGCCCGTAAAATGCAATATATACCAGTGCTCAACTACTCGCCGATCAGTACGGCGCGGCGCAGCGCCCTTCGAGGCAGGACCTATGGCATTTCTCTATATTCTGTTATTTATTTGTTTTCATTAATTTTGCTCCGATTTTATCTATTTTTAGTTTATTTATTTTATTGACATTTGTGACAACTTAATGTTTTTTATCCGTTGCCCTGGCTAAAAGTGAAAGGTGCGCAGATGCGGTTGCGCACAAAAACGTAACGAGGTCATTTGTTCAGTAGATTTTACTGTTCACATTTTTCTCATACTGGGCCCCTTATATATGCAAATCGATTCTTAAGGAGTAAACTCCAAAAATCAAACTTCTAAGCTAAACCAATCAAAAGATACAGTCGTTTATGCCGCAAATTTTCGAAACTCGCACGGGAATCAAAACTCGTAAACTTAGAATCTTGAAATTTAGTACGAAGTAACGGCTTATAGTACAGATAAAGGAAAAATTGCGAAAACCGTAAATTTTTAGTTACATCATATAATAAAAAATATTTTTTAATATTATTAAAATATACCTACGGTTTTGTACGGAACCCTCGGTGCGCGAGCCTGACTCGCACTTGGCCGGTTATTTATTTTCTGTAATATTATAGATAAGAAAGCGTTTTATAAAATGATGTGTGCATTGATGCAAAATAAATAAAGTAATAAATATCTTTAACACCTTATCGTCATGTGCTTCAAGTATTATCATAAGCATTATCAAAACTTACTTATCTATGATTTGCAGTTTTTAAACCTAAGATGTTGTAAGATAAATAAAATTACGATTAGAATAAATAAAACAAGTAGAGGTATAGGTCGCGCAAACTTCATGAGCAAAACCACAGACAAAGAAACATGCGCAGTAGATGTTTTTGTATGTAAAATTTCGTTGCTCAAGAAGTTTACCAGGATGTATACATACAATTATACAACCTTTTTTATAGATAATTTATAAATCTAATATTATTTTGCTAATGATTATTATCCTGTATCTGACAAGCATCCTCTTTAATTTAATATTTTTAATAGCTAATAAATTGTTATATTGCTTTTATTTTATTAAAATAAATATTTGTACATCCCTTAAAGTTACAAAATAGGTACTCTATAACAAATTTGTTACTGTTTTAAATATTTGGGCATACAAATTGTACATTATTAACAAAATTCAAGCAACTCTGACTTGAATTATTCTCTCAATGACACTTCTGCATAGGGGACAACTGTCCATCTCATTCTTTGAACAAATGAGACAACAGCACATATGACCACAAGGAACAAAAACAACTTCACAGTTACAATCCATGCAAATAACACATTCAGATTCATATATTGAATCCTGTACTTCATTAGCTGTTACTACACCTGTACAATTCTGTTCTTCAATATCCTGCTTAGGTGGGGCACTTGGTATTGACGAATCAGGCATATCAATATTCTGATAACTTTGGTTCTTAGCCCCTACATAACTATCTATGGCTTTCAGAATATTATCTCTATCAGATGACAACGAAATACCACATTCTTTTAAATTATCATGAGTGATGTCTAACAGAGAACCTTCAGAGAATAGGAATTTCACTAAAAATGGTAAACAATGTATAACACCATATTCCAAAAGTTGACTAGCAAAAGCTGGATCCAAATGTTTTCCCACGTCTAATAAGTTCCTTGGGGCTGAATCTATCAACTTTTGATAATTTCTTAGCCAAAAATCTGAACTTTTGAAATCTGCCTCATTTTCCATTTCTTTCAAAGTGTTAATCAACTGATGTCTTCTCTTAGACTGTTGTTCTAATAGATCATCTAATAAATTTACCATTTGCACTCTCTGATGTAATAAGGCATTATAATTGTAAGAGATTTCCATTTTCTTCTTCTCTTGCTCAATTGCGCTAAGTCTAACTAAGTGTGAAGAAATTAATGAAATTTCTTCATTCAAACTCCAAGTTCTGGCATCAGTTTTTTCCATCAATGAAGCCACTAAAGCTTTTTGGACATCTTGATCTTCTAACAGCTGTCCTACCAAAGCTGTGCGTGACTGATCCTTGGCAAGAAGAAGTTCCTCTAATTTATCATTACCTTCCAACTCTTGCATGAGAGCGCTTTGTTTCACAAGACTCAAGCTATTCTCATAGTGTTTTTTAGAATGTTGAATACAAAAATCTTCTTCTATCAGCATTTCCATGGCTTTTAAAACTTCAAACTTTTTGACATTATCATAGTTCTGTCTTACTATTTCAAGTAGCCGATCATGTTCCAATTGTTCATGTGCTAATTGTTGCTGCAAAATTTCTGGTTTCAAAAACTCAGATTGAATAAATTTATTTACTAAAAATTCAATATCCTTTTCCTCTTCTTGTATTGCTTTTAATAATTTTTGGCGTTCCAATTCTTTATTCCCATGAACTTTAGCTATCTCAGAGTCCAACTCTTGCTGCTCTTGCAGCACTTTTGAAAGAAACTTTTCTCTTTGTTGTTTAGCAACTTCATGGTATTTGTTTTCTTGTTCAATAATAGCAGCTTCTTGTTCCTCCCAAGTTTTTATACTAGGTTTATGAAATGGATCCATTACTGCACTTGGTGACTGAACAGATGGAAGTTCTGAATCTAAAGGTATAGGTGGAATGTAATCAGTATTGGACTTTTTACACAGGTATTTCATAATTTCTTCGGTACCAAGAGAAACCACCTCTGATGGAGGAAAAATAAAATTCTCAGCATCTATTTCAATGGAAATAATATTTGTTGCAAAACATAGCTCCGGACATAATTCTTTTAAAGTATTGTTTTCCGAAATTATGAGTTTTCTCAAATTTATTAGTTTTCCCAAATAGGGTGTTAAACATTTAAGCCTGTTTCTAGACAAATTAAAAATCCTGAGATTTTGCAGTGATTCTATACTGTCAGGTATAAATTCTATAAAATTATCCTGAACATACAATTCAGTTAAGTTTACCAAGTACTTAATATCGTAAGGTATTTGTAAGAATTTATTGGAACTTATGTTGAGCACTTTGATTATATATAAGTCTGATAAAAGGCCTCCACCATTTAATGTTTCCAATTTATTGTTCTGTAAAAACAAATTTTGTTTTCTGTACACTTTGCAACATAAATATATTCCGGATGGCACACGTCGTAGCTCACAATCGGATATATCAAAATCTGGTTCAGGGGACTCTTTTGCGAGATATAATTTTCTTTCTAATTTTCCTTGTAAATCACTCACACTATTGCTGGAATTTTTACAAAACAACGACATTGTCATTTGTTGCATACACGAAACTGTACAACCCATTAAAATATCGAAGAACAAAATATCACACAACTATTTTCCTGATGTCACCGACTCCTAAGTAACATCGCTGCTAGCAAGCCCCGATCACAAACTTATTCACTTGTTATTGTGTGTCTTATCATCTTTGTTGAACGGATAAGGATAATTTATATATTGATAAAATAAATAAATCTGCCGAAGTGCCGACCACTACATTTATTTACCAAATTTATGTCACGCACTTTTTTTTTTGGTTAAGTTCTCCCTTTTCAGGCAAGGCAAGAGGAACAATGCCCATACAGCCTAGTCTTAAGTTAAATTATTCTGTTTTTCTTTTTACATTAGAATGTCGGTGTGACGCATGCTAATGTTTCTTAAAGTGTTTGGCACGCAATGTATCGAGCTGGCTTTTTCGATAAGCTTCTGTGAGGTAGTCAATACTACAATAAAATTCTCACGTCCACTTGACCGGAATAGCGTATATTTTGACGATTCTACTAATTCTTCACTTTCACAATATCCACTTTCAACAAATTTAAGAATAATTAAAATAAGACGCCAACCACACTCGATGAAATCCCGCCAAAAACTCCTTTTTTTTTAATTAAGTTTCTCCCTTTTCAGTGCAGGCAAAGAGAGCAATGCCTATACAGCCAAGTCTTAAGTTATTTTAATATTCTTTTTTTACGTTACATTGTTGATGTGACTCATTCTAATGGTACTTGGAGTGTTAGGCACGAAATGTATCGAGTTGGCTGTTCCGATAAGCTTCTGTGAGGTAGTCAACACTACAATAAAGTTCCCACGTCCACTTGACCGGAATATCGTATATTTTAAAGATTCCACTAATTCGTCCAATATCCACTATGAACGAATCTAAGAATAATTAAAATAAGACGCCAACCGCACTCGATGAAATCCCGCCAAAAACCTGCCACTTTTAAGTTTTTTTTTCTATATAGCTTCGCACGGTTTGTGCATTTAGCCAATGTCAATGTCAAGTGTAAAATGTTTACATATTCTATAGCACTCGTGGTCAAATATTAGTCAAGTCAAAGTGAGTGGCAGTCGAGTCAATCCGCCTTTCCCTATGTTTCAGTAAATGTGAGGATTTACTGGAACCTCCCCGTGGACTTCTTGAGGGAACGTCGAAAGACACTTTCCGCTATTTTGTTTCACTTGCTAACACTTGTGCATGTTTCCGAACACTTAGTGGTTAATAATCCACCATTATTAGACACTAACATCCGCCACAACACAATTTTTAACAAGTAAAACAAAACTGCAAAAGTGACTTCCCGATCCCGCCAAAAAGTCCACTTTTTAAGTTTTATCCAAGTTAACCTAATTTTTTTTTGTGTTTTCGTGAGACGGGCAAAGGATTAGAAGCGCATTCAGCCTAAACTTTACTATTTTAATTAAAAAAAATGCTCGTAATAGTTTCTTTTGGGCGCTTTCTTTGATTAATAAGAATCATTTGAAAGTCAACAAATCAACTTAAAACCAATTTTCAGCTTCTCATCATTGTACTTTTTAAATCATCGAAATCGGTCCATCCGTTGCGATTTTATAACTCTTTTTATAAAGCCAATATTTATCGACTCACGCGATGTAAGGCCAGAGCGTTTGACGTCACAGAGCTCGATCCGCTCGAAGTCGACCTATACTTCCTTGCCCTATACCCACACGCCACCATTTACTACAAAGCGCTCAATGCAGTTAATATACTGCCAAACTTTAGGGGAGACCTATATCCAGCAGTGGACGAACATGGGTTGATGATGATATTGGTGCCAATTCTGGCATGATTCTCTAAACTTAAAACTAAATTTAACATCAGTTTCTCCTTTTCATTCTGTATAGAGAATGACAAGGATATACTGCTGTCAAATTTAAGTTTAGGTTTAGAGAATCATGCTAGAATCGACACCACTGCCAACTATACTTAGCCTAGACGTATATGATGAGTTTGTATAGAAATAATAATGACACTTCCTTTTTGGAGTTCCTGACAAGGAACCCTTATAGTTTCGTCATGCCCGTTTGTCTGTCCGACCGAGGTATTGCTGTAACTGTAAGGATATCAATCACGCCGGCAAAGTGGTAGAATAAAATTTTGTAAAATATTTTTTTTAGATCCCCTGCGTGTAACGTGGGGATGATTTTATGTCCATCGTCTGCCACGTCTGTGTAGTTAGCCTCCCACTTTTTGAAGTTTATTATTATACAGGTTGTTCTGGATTGTTCTATGTTTGTTCTTCATTGTTCCAAAGTATTATCTTAAAAAACTAAAATTTGAAGCTGCCAGACAAAAAAAGCTTTTTTAAGGTAGCCCCCCATGTTTGGAAATTCAATATTTTTTTTAGTTGTTCCAAGTGGTTCTAGTTGTTCCTAACATTGTTTCAAAGTATTATTTGAAAAAACTCAAATTTGAAGCTGCTAGACAAAAAAACTGTTTTTATGGTAGCCCCCCATGTTTGGAAATTCATCATTTTTTTAGTTGTTCCAAGTTGTTCTAGTTGTTCCTAACATTGTTCCAAAGTATTTTTTGAAAAAACTAAAATTTGAAGCTGTAGGGCAAAAAAAACCTTTTATTTATAAAATAAAATCGTACTAGAGACTAGGTTCCATGTCAGTCAGACTTTAAATTACCATAAAATCATGAGTTCGCTGCTAAAAAAAGAAAGCCCTTCAGGGATAACCATAAATTAGAATTTTTGTCGAAACGATGAAGGTTTTATTTTCCGTTTTTTCCAAAAAAAATCGAAAGTGTCATCTTATTTTTATCATAATTTGAGTTTGATGCTATTAACTTTTTTCAGTGCTTATTAGATAGTTATTTCCAAGGACTTAAAAAAGCCTAAGGAAGTATATGTGAAAAATGCATCGGTTTCCCGTTATTTAGGTTTGAATACTTAGATTTAAGTACTACTAGACCATAGCTCACTTTGAATTAATATTAGGTTTTTCAAAGTAGGGGTTTGTTTATTTTTTTATTAGCTTCAATTTTGGTCATAATACATTTTTTGGTAAAACTTATAGGTTTTGAGTTATTGATGAAAAACCGCTTTAAAAGATGTATTTTTATCACGAAAAATCACAATCTTTGATCTTTAATAACTCAGAAAGTATTGATTGATTCCAAAAATTTTTTTTTAACTAAAATCAATGTCTTTGGTAGCCGTTTAAATATCACCCAATAGATATTATGGAGGTCGTCAAATTACAATTTGCCTATTAGAACGTGCTTAATCGTAATGCTTTAATAATATAGGAGATTGCTCAAATTGGCCCAAATGCACAAAAAATATTGACATACACGGTAATTCTTAGCGTTATTTATAATTTAATTTACAGTCATTAGATTTCAACGGACACCTTTGTATGATATAAGGTGCTTTGGGGTAAAGGCGAAAAAGGGTTTATTCCGAAAATAATGACTTACTACCAAAGTAGTCAATATTTTTTGCTCTGGCAACATTAATATGGTTGCCATCTTATTTTTTTCCCTTGCGTTAGTCCTGCCATGAAGCTTATGCTGATCGTATGCGTACAACATTTATTTTTCTAACGCGTCTATACTTTCATTGTTTTGTGAATCATCGGAATTACCCCGAGATCTTTTTCTCTGTTGTTTGGTAAGTAATCTTCCTCATTGTTTGTTTGAATGATAGGTTATCGATTTAGGCATTGTTTTGTACAGGTTAGGATACAGTAGCTACAAATTTTACTTTTTTTTCGGAAATGCCCCGCAGGGGTGATTATGAATGAAAAATATTTCGAATTTACCCCAAAATGTTATTTCTTGATGAATTGCAGTGTTTGTCAACATTTTTAATTTCTTTCACAAATTCTGAGCGCTGACTTTAAATGAATATGCATGCATTGTTTTGTCATATCAGTTGTCAGTTTCCGACTAAATAAATAAGTAAACTAAAATCGAATAAATAATAAATACATTGTTATTTATTAATTGTTGTAAGTACAACTGTGCCAATATTGTTAGGTGACGTTGTTTTTAATACGGAAGATGAATCACACTAATATTATAAAGGCGAAAGTTTGTTAGGGTGTATGTATGTTTGTTACTTCTTCACGCAAAAACTACTGAACGGATATGGATGAAATGAATTGGCACAGAGATAGATTAGGTCCGGAATAACATATAGGCTACTTTTTATCCCGGAATAAACACAGCTCCTGTAGGATACAAAAATAGTAGTTTACGCGTGCGAAATCGTGGGCAACAGCTAGTATAAAATATTTACAAAACTAATTTTGTTCCAGGAGAAAATACCGCGGAACTATAAAAGAAAAAAACTTCCAAAATACACGCAAGATGATATGGCTAAGGCAATCGAAGCCGTATTGAAGGATGAACACACACACATACACACACAGTTCTTAACCATTTACTTACTGATTTGTATGCTGAAATTTTGTTTTTGTGATTACTTTTTTTTAATACAGGATTTAGTACATTAACCTACATACCCTTTCGTTAATAATTGTCGTTATTATTTATCTGTTCTTTAATTTAAAATAATATTGTTTGTTTTCGACGGTTAACATTAACCTGGTACTGCCGTTTATTTATGTTATTTATTGAGTATCTAATTTATTTTATTCGTTAAATGTAAGTTTTTCAAAGAACCAAAATATATGAAACTGTCGTTTTAAGTGAAACAAGAACTCTTTCATTTATTAACTTGTTTCTTTTTCTCCTACAGTCCTAGACCATTAAGCCTGTCCTTATTTATAGTTGCATTGCACTAGTCCTATCAGACTTCTTTTTACCAACAATTTAATGTTTAGAACCACTGGACTATAAGCGGGGTAATTCCGAAAATCAAAGTAATCAAAAGTGTGTTTTGGCAAACTACAAAGGATATCAGTTTTTCTTTCAAAGCGGGGTAAATTCGTATGTTAAAGTAAATTAAATCTTAAGTTTGAGCTTACAAATATGACTTTTAAGTAACATTCGGAATTACCCCAACATATTTCGAAATTACACCTATCAATATAAAAATATACACCAAATTTTAAAAGCTTGAATAGACATAATGTGATAATATTGATAAGAAAAGCTTATCGACAGACGTTGGACATATATTTCTGTTAAAATAACTGACAGCAGCTGCTTATAAATCTTGCAGAGTTAGAAATAAAAAAAATAATTCAAAACATTTATATCAACTAATCAGAAAATAATTCGGAATTACCCCAAAGCACCTATATTTACTTTAAAAAGGACTTTTAATTTTACCGGTTTGGAAAACATACGAATCGTTTATAATGGCTATGGGTGTATATAGTAACATTCAGCCAAAGACTGATCGAAGTTGTTTATATAACATAAAAACAAATCTATTTTGTAAACATCGATAAAATAAATCATTTTTTTATTACACTGTGGTATTAATATCACATATTATCATTTTCACTGGATGCAAATGTGCTCAAACAATTATTATAGATGGTAGGCGACATCATAAAGTGTATTGCCATACATTTTTCGCCAAAAACTTCCATAAACACATTATAATCTGTATATATGTTAGACTTTAATGTATCTATCTATGGGCCTGCGTTCCCTGACTATTAATTAATACCTAAATAAATAAAATTATAAGGTGTGATACACTAAATATCTAAAATATGGTTATCTTAAACACATAACAAAAATAATGAAGCTACTGAATATATGGCTATAGAACCTAAATCTCTTAGCTTTATTTGGTTTACGAGAGTTTAAAAATTCTCTCTAATCTGTGGCTCATTCACAATCATCACACAGTTTCTGTCACAGAGTACCTTATTATAACCGGAAATGACACCTGATCTTAAAAGTTACTCTTATGCATAAACTTTAAAAACAGGCAACTATCTGTTAATCTACATGCTCTATATACCTGAATCTAATCCATAATTTCGGTACATGGCTTGATTTCCCTAGTTTACTATATAGGGTGAAATTGAATGTTTCTATGAAACTTCGTGAGATTGTTGGGTTATGTGTATAGAGTATGCCTGTCTTTTTTCGGATTTTTTTGAAGTATATTTTTTTCATGTATTTATTTATAATTTATGTATTTTTATGTCCTTTCCTCGTTTTGAGTAGTTATTCATTTTAAACAAACAAACTTACATATCCAGTGAAAAACAACTAATAAATAAGCACTTCTAAAAACGGAAAAACATTGAAATTCCACCGCGGGTCAACGACCAACCGCGCCCGCCAGCCGTTGAGTGAGTAGCTACCTAACTCTACACAGAGCTCAACTGACTCGTTTGATTCCACACAATAGATACAATAAAATCGTCTTAGATGCCTTTATTGAAATTGAAATAATAAGCACAAATGTCATCTTTTCTTAAGCAGAGAAAAACTTTAAAAGTTAATAATAATTTTGTCACGATTGGAAATAGGCAAATGTTAAACAAAAAGAAATACTTATTGCTTAATACCCTAAGAATGAAATTTATAACCAGGTATTCAAAAGTACTTACGAGACCGGCGATTTAGGTAGGTACAACGAGGAACGAGGAACATATTCATTTTTTTCACTAGAACTTTTTATCAAATCAATCACACTGGTAGTACACAATTAGTTGTTTCTAATCAAAAAGTATTTACACTAGCAATAAAAAGAGACTTAAATTATTATCTGCAAAATTGTTGCTCTAAACCACCATTTTGCTGCAAACAAAGGTTGCCTGTTTGCGGACGTGTCTTTTCACCTTTTTTAAAGTGTCCCTATCACTACTCACTGCACAAAATGCAACTTCTATGGTTTAGGGACTCATTCGTAAACCAAACCTACTTCGTCACACTCGCGATAGCAGTACACCATCTCTAAATATTCTTGGTTTGTATACCGAGGCATAATGAAATTATCACAGTTTATGTCACCAAGTCAAAAGATGCGCACGCTCACGCGCGATTGATATACTTGCGACTGCGTTTTGCATGCAATCAAAGCAAACGTCCGCGTGCGGGGAAGAGGGGAGGTGGGCGGAATTCACATCATCAAAGACGCCGCAACCGGCGCTAGTTGCCAGCGTGCGGCGCGCCGCCCGCCCGTGCTTGCCGCAAAACAACATATTATTATGTGTGTGTATGTGTAACTGTGGCTGTGATTAAATGTGTTCGGAATTTCATGACGTGGGCAAATCAGACACGAAGAGTTCCTTCCTTCACTAAGCTCGTAAGTTATACCGATTTGCTCTTAATTTTAAGAAGATTTATTTTATTGATTAATTACCTGTGCTTTATGAAATAATATTCAAAGGTATTGTGTATCAGTGAATAAATAATTATAATATAGCATCTAAGACTATTTTATTGTATTGTTTTTAAATAGTGTGGATCAAAGCGAGTAGGTAAGCGCCGAGTCATCTGTGCGTGTAGTTCGCCCCGACCGGCGCTGATCTCGACTGGAGGCATAATGAAGGCATTCATTAAGTTTCCGTTTTTTTAGTAGTGCTTATTTTAAGTTGCTTTATAACTTCTATGTAGACGTGTTTAAAATGAATAATTACTCATAAGGAAGAAATGACAAAAAAATAACCAAATAAAAAATTAAAAAACGAAAAAAATTATTTTAAAAAATCCGAAAAAAATCAGGCATACTCTATACACGTAACCCATCAATCTCACGAAGTTTCATATAAACATTCAATTTCACCCTGTATAACTTATTTGTTTTTTATTATTTTAATATGCTCAGTGTATATGGTTTATAGAAGTTTTCAGGGGTGTCCGTCAATAATATTCGTAATTTATATATAATTTCGAATCTAGGAAACAATTTTTCATTATTATTGGTCTTTAGGCCAAACATGTATGGAAGCTGAGCAATCTCCTTTACATACTTCTTAGTCCCGAAACAAAGAAAAATTTCTTTTATTTATAATTGAGAATGGCATCCCTTATTATATTTCCAACAAAGGGTATTACTAAACTGTTATTGTTAACCATTAACTCAATCACTTTCACATTTCTATTTTCAATCGATGAAGTTTCATAATTCAATTCCCATTTTAATCGCTCATAGAATCAATTTCAGGGATAAAAATTCCAAAGTAAATATACCAGTAAGCTTTTATGTATTTCATTTCTATCTTTGAAATTGACGAAGTTTCATACAAACTTCCATCCCCTATTTTATCTCCTTAAGGGATGGTAGGAGATGAATTTCCAAAAATCCGTTACATCATTGAAGGACCCAGCTTTTTCAGCTGTGACTTTAAGTTGACCGATGAGTCAATTAGCTTTTTCTTTAATCTAGAAGTAGTAGAAGATAAGAGAAGAAATGTAGAAGATGAAGAAACAATAAAAAAAAATGTTATTTGTACAATTTTAATAAACTAACAGTCTTCGTCACATTTTAAACTTAGGTAAGGGAATATAAAAACATATTTAACTGTAATTTGTTGCCAAACTACCGACTAAATCTGGAAACAAAAGAGAAAAGGTCACTATGAAAGTAATATGTTGTAGAACTCATAACACCTTCTCTAAAATTAAATCACATTTAATCAGTAGTTCATTCGTCTGATTCCGTTTTCCGCTTAGAATTGTAAGATTGATGTGGATCATGATGGGGACTGTAATTATAATCCTTATACCATTCTCTAGTTAGTGCTACAGGCACCCCGAACAATGTATACGCTACTTTCTGATGCGGTAAATATGATTCTGTATAATACTCATTAGAACTTTCCGGTTCATACTCTACACTTGACGTATCGTGGAATTTATTTTCCTTTGTATATTTCTTGTGCGTATCATCATATCCTCTATTATAATCTACAGGATTTTGTCTGCTTTCTTGCTTTTGATACCAGTCATCATAGACAGGTACAGTTTCGCCAAATAATTTATGGTTGTTTTTGTTGCCGGTCTTTACTTGTTCGCTATGTGGTTTGTAAAAATCACTAAAGTTGTTTATGTTTTCCAAGTGTTCAAATGTAGTGTAAGCAGGTATCTTAGTTTCGTATGATTCATTAGAGTCATTTTGATGATTCTTGAAAGGATGTGAACTTCTGTACGATTTGTCTTCCTTCGAAATATTTTGTTGTTGATCTATATCCTTGTCCTGATTGGGGTCTATTTTTAATCTTTCATGGTTCTGTTGATGTTTCTCTGATGTAAGTGAAACTGGCCCATCACTGTATAAGCTTTTAATATACTCGGGAGTTGAGTTTTTGTAATTTTCTAATAGCTTATCGGAATATAATCGAATGTTTTTGTAATCTAAATTTGGTAAATTGCTAGGATTAGCATAATTAGAATAATCAGTGTTAAATTTATATATACCAAAATCAGGCATTTGAGATGGGTAAACATGAGTTTTTAGTATCTTTGATAATCGATCAAAGGGGTCAGTCAGTTCATCGTTGCCATTAGGCAAAGTTTCTATATTTGTCTGTTCTGGTTTGTCATTTAAAGTAGCCATAGATTTTTTTGTATCAATTTCTGCTTTATTGTTTGCATCTGTTGTGACTTCGCCGTTTTTATTACGACTTTTTTCAGTCATATAAGTTGGTACCTTTGATTTAACTCGGTTGAAAATATCTTCTATGTTGAACGATTTATCAAAATCTTCTATTGGTTTTCCAACGCCTTCGATTTTCTTCGCTGACAGGGTTTGCGGCGCTTTACTAAAATGATCAAATAAACTATATTGAGGTTCTATGATTATATTATAGGTTTCTGCCTTTTTTTCAGGAAGCAATTTTATAACCACTGTTTTACCTTGATGGTATCCAATACCATGACCATCGAACGGTTTATTTTTCGGTGTTTTCTTTTTAGTTACAGCCTTTTTAGTAGTGGTTTCCTCTCCTTCGCTGTTAGAATCAGCATCACAGTACATTTTGTTAAGTTTTTGTGCATCTTTATCCGAGAGACCTGCTCTTTGGCCAATTTGCGCGCCACTCTGAAAGGAAATCAAAGTGCAGTATAATAATTGCAACTAAATAATATGATAAATTAATGAACCCTTATATTATGAATCAATGCACATAAGATAATTTTTTTTTATGATACTTGTTTCTGAATCCAAAAAGATGATTCATTTAATTTGATGGACTCGATTGATAAGTAAGCAGTAGGAACGTGTGCGTCATGCTGATCGTCACCTGTTTGGGGACGATGGTGTCTTGTCCGTTGGAGGAGAAAGCCCGGCGACTATAGTGCAGAACGCTGTCGTAGTCGTAACCCACGCCAAAGTCGGACACCGCAAACGCATTGTACTTGCGAAAGTTGTGTCGAGCAGCTGTGGATCAATTGAGAATCCTTTTATTAGTTGAACAGATCCTCGCTTATAAATAAGCAGTAATTAATTTTTTGAGTGAGGAGTGTAACTAGTTTATACTCCATAAGAGACTTTGGTATTCAGTCTTATGACTTCTTGTGAAAAAAATAGATAAGAAACAAAAAGTTATAAATAAGTACGAGGATGCACAACGAACACTTAAGTGGTTACACTGGTACCTATACAATATATCTCCCAGAACTTGAGTGGTATAATAATGTAGCCATTTTGTATTCACTGTACGCACTATGGTCGACACAAGAATCACACATACGTTACTATTGTAGCTAGTCCAGCTTAAAGAATAGTCTTATCCAATAACTACTCCTAACATTGCTTTAAAAGACAATTAAGACGATACTTTCTCATTATTCCCACGTTTGCTATTCTGCTTTTTACTTCACATTTTCGTAGAGACTTTGATTTGTACCTAAGAATAATTTCATACAATTGACGTTCTAAGTGCTAAGTTAATATTTATTTTACGCATTGTTGTATTATTACTTCCCAAGTTTCTCTGAGGTCATTGGCTAACCTTTGCTTCCTACAACTTTTTATTACGCAAACACTTTTAATGTAGTTGGGATGCACTGAATGGTTTAAATGTGTTTCTATTTCTAGTTTCTGTTTTTAATACTTAGGCATTCCAATAACAGCAAACTTTAACTGAAAAAGTAAAGTGAATTTTAGGTAGTGCATCACTTTTGTTACCCTCAGGAGCGCACAAGAGTACAATGTACTCGTATGTTTACTGAAATGAAATATCCTATTCTCAAATAGTTAAGCTATATAGATTTTAAGTTTGTGGTATTTAAATGTTTCGATATTACTAATAAAATATATAATAAATTAGATTTTCTCAAATTCCACAATATGAGTTTTCTTTCCCTATAATGCTTTCTTTCTAGAAAGTCTGCTTTTTAAACAGTCGTTTTCTTAAATTTTTGCTTCCTAAAATGATTGTTTCCTAATATAAATGCTAATTAAGAGACACCCATGAAGTCACTTCGGACCGAAATATGTTCAGTAGGAAACTAAAACAGCCTGTAATCTGATAATTATAGATAACATACAGAGAGGTTGCATACTATACTATTAATCATAAAAATATATTGTATACTCCTCCGAATATCCTAGCAACACTCACCGACAGAATGAATATACATCCATTGCTCGAATATACTCCTAGAATATTCGAGCAACGAATTATTAACTTAGGAGATTTAACACGATAGGACTGACATATATAAATGTACATACAAAAGTCCTTTAAAATAAAGAGAGAGAAATGAAATCATTTAAGGAAATAGACATTGTATTCCTATAATGTTTTATTACTCTGAGTAATTAAAAATTACAACAACTCAACCCTATTTGACTCATTCTTTACGAAAACAAACTTTATTTTTAGCTGTATTGATACAGTTAACCATTTGGATGTGTACGTAAAGTATAACTTACTAATTGATTGTCTAACCTGTCATTTACCTATAAGAATGCACACTCACACTCGGTTAAAAATCAATACATTTGATTAGTAATGCAGTCAGTCTCCTAAGGTTATAACAATTTGAATATTAAAAGCAGAATCAATAGCCGACATTCTCAAGAAAAACCTTCTCTCAAACATAAAATGCGTTCAGTCTGGGATCGTTAAAATTAAGCAACCTTTGCAATGGCCAGTCATATCTATGATGGGTGACCAACAAAAGTTTAATATTTCCACCTACTCCGTGCTTCGCACTCATTAAGGATCCACCAAAGCGCGCTGGGCCTGCAGACTGGGTTATGTTATTATTTTGACTTGACACTATGATTGGCATCAAGATTGAATTAGTGTAAAACCTATAGTAAGGTAAGAAAATACTGTGTATTTTGTTATAGAATTAAATAAAGAAATAAATGACCCATTCTTTTTATTTTATCAATAGGTATGTTCTGTGCCCCAGACGTGAGGATATCAAAAAACTGTTAATAATGTAAAAGAAAGAGTGACAATGCATTTGATCTGCCTGAAGGTTAGCGGCCAGCATAGCCTATTCTTGCTTGGTCACTTGCAATAAGAACCAGAGTTATAATTCGCGCGTTGCCTGCTCTGGCCCCGTGGTGCCCGTGGAACTTTTGCTCACCGTCAGAAACGCAATACCACCAAAATATAGTGTCATTTCGCTATTAGCGTCTGTAAAATGGAGGTTACTTCTCCAGGACGCTCCAATAAGAGCGTATGATAAATTAATTAATTAATCCTACGGAAACTTTTGCTAGTCCATTCGGCCCATAAGGCCGGACTAGTATTGGTCAAAATTAAAATCGGTTCAAACGATCCAGAGATTACTCCCTACAATCTCATAAACTTTGATTTACCTCTTTTTAATATTAGTATAGGTAGCGGAACCAACTAAACGAAACCACAGATAAATAAACTTGCGGAGTAGACAGTTTTTAACCGACGAAAAAGACGGGCGAATTGCTCAAGTCGACGCGTATATATATATATTATGTATGAACACCAACCAAACAACCAACACGGAGTAGTCCGATTTTGACATTTTTTTTACTTCTGGAAAGGGTATACCCTGATATTAGTCCCATATGAATTTGAAAAGATAAACCCAAGTGCCCAACCCCAAGTGTATCATTTAATAATCGGAGCAGATCTGATATATGTATCTGAGTTCCCATTTACTACTTGGGTGGGCCTGGCACTGGCAACGACTCCAAATATTAATTTGACTAAAGATAAAAAATGTTTATTATTTTAACTTTTCGACGGTTTAATTTTACCGCGCAGGCTTTCTTGTCTATTCTCGTTGCTTATGAAGCCTTTGCCGGGATGTATATATGTACTTAGATCATCAACATCATCACAGCATATCCCCACTGTTGGGGCAGGGCTTCCCTATGGATGGAATAGGGACGTTGGGACTTTACCCACCACGCGGGTCCAGTGCGGATTGGTGAGTGCTAATGACTACAGACGCAGCCGGGACCAACGGCTTAACGTGCCTTCCGAAGCACGGAGGAGCTCTCATATCAAGTTTTTGGTCACCCTTGGACCATTGGAAAGTAGCTTAACTTCTACGATTGCAGGCCGAACGCGCTCCTGCGCCATCGAGTTCCATATACTTAGATATAGGCTTAGGATAAAGGTAAAAAATACTCACGCTGCACGATATTTTCCCAGACAACGTTGACGTAGTCGTCCCGGTCGGGACTGCTCTGCATGTGATAGAAGCCGAGCGTGTGCAGGAGCTCGTGGACGACCGTCCCGTGGCGGAAGCAGCCGCGGCCCACGGGATGTCGGCCGGACAGGTTCAGCACCTGGTAACCGCCCTGGTAGCCCACTTGAGAGAAGCATCCTCGCCTGCTTCCCTGTTAATTCAAATAATCCATTTATAAATACCAAAGTTCAAGACATACTCAACTAGGTATGTACTTTATGTAGGTTTATCACCTGCGAATTAGGCAGAAATCAACCTCATTAAGGAACAGATAAATATACTTCAGCAAAACTCTAACGACGCGACACGTTACATCTGATATTGGTAAGACTAGTCTATCAGACTTAATACCTATAATTATTTAAAAAAAATAACGACTGATGGCCAGCGTTACGTACACAACGCAACGGTTTCCGAATCGACCTATCTACTGAACTTTTACTTCTGCGCCAGAAAATTTGCATTTAACTAGCTGACACAATTTGGAAAACTTCCCAGTGAGTAAAATTTTCTAAAGATATAATTACAAACTTGAATGATAAAATTAAATATTAACTTAAAAGGCAAATAATTTATAGTCACTTTATAATCTGCTTTTTTTGGAACGTAACAACATTCACATAGCACGTTTTGAATTATTTGTGATAAGTATCTCTATAGTGTATAAAACAATAGTTACCTGAATCACAACAGCATTTTTATCTCCCTTTTGGTAGGGCCTGAAACTGATACAGGAAGCTTGTGCTAAGTCCTCGATGCCGCTACGAATGGCGTTCACTTGATCTTCATCTATATAGTGAAGTAAAAAAAATATTGATAGAGAGTTTAAAATAACTCGTCTCGATGACAAATGATTGTATCAAAATCCTTACTGAAATGTTCCTTTTGAATATAGTAGATGACTTCGTTGTCTGGCCATTTCTTCGTGCTATCCCTGAGACCGTTTCTGGATAAACCTTCGGCTATCTCTTCCACTATCATCCGTCTCTGTCGGTCATTCAGTATCAGATCGCCCTCGAACTTCCCGCTGTCTTCCCACGCATGGTCCGATACAGTTTCATCTTCATCGTGTTCGTCGGAATCAGTACCTTCTATAAATGGTAATTTATTTGTATAAACCGACAGCCTAACTAACAGAGAATATCAATAACGTTGAAAAATTAAAAAAATCCAAAGAGAATGCTGCTGAATGCTTAAGAGGTGGTAAATTAAGCTTTCAGTTTATAAAAGACGTATTAATGTTTAGATATTTTATATAACATATTATATTATTGCATAACCACATGCTAACTCTACATTATTATTAATGTCTTTTTTTTAAACTTGAGCGTACACAAATATACTTACTTTTCAAAGTTTCATCCAACTTGGAAGTCTTTTTCAAGAAGTTCGCAAAATCCTCTAATTCACTTATAGACATAGCTGCACACTGCACCACATAAGAAACAAAAACAATAGCAAATACATCTCTCAACTCCATTGTGCTAACAATAGTTAATTTTGAACCGTATTCAGTTAAAAAGGTTTTTTTTATTATTTAAAATACATGCAAACTTTTCACACGAACTGTCATTATATAATTAAAGACATGGTGACATTTTCTTATCCACAAATCGATCACGTTTATTATTATGTGAAGCTCGCGTGATTTTTTCCGTCGGACAAAACCCATCGGAGTGGGGTTGGATTTAATATAGGTCCAGATACGACCATTTCACAAGTTGTTCGGCCGCAACTGCGCGGGCGCAGCTTGCGACAGACAGAGGCTCCGCGCCTCGCCTCGTGCGCTGACAACGGCAGCGCCACGTTTTGGACGTGCAACGCGCAAGATCAGGTTGCAAAATATTCATCGCCTCAGTTAGTTTTCCAATTCATAAATAATGATATTTTCGCTCAACAAATAAATATCTACTTGCTTCGATGCTCATTATAGTAATTGGATTATTGAAATAGAAATAAGACAACAGAAATACATTTTCTGTGAAAATTTCAACTGTCTACCTATCACGGTTCATGAGATACAGCTTGGTGAAAGACAGACAGACGGGCAGTGGAGTCTTAGTAATTGAGTCCCGTTTTATTACCGTTTGGGTACGTAACCCAAAAAAAGTATAGGAGCTACATTATACTTATTTGCTTTGTAATTTGAATGATTATCATATCAAATTAAAGAAGGAAAAATCCGGCCAAGTGCGATTAGGACTCGCGCACCGAGGGTTCCGTACAAACCTGTAGGTTTACTTTAATAATTATTAAAAAATATTTTTTATTATTTATTTATTTATTTAAACTTTATTGACCAAAATATAAACAATGGTACAAAAGGCGGACTTAATGCTAAAAGCATTCTCTCCCAGTCAACCTTTGGGAAAAATGAGAAACACGAACAGCGGTATAAAGCTAAATACGAATAAATGTACAAAAAACATAGATACATAAATAAATACATACCATAAAAATAATGTAATAGATACAAACATAACACAATAATATTTAAATATATATATATATATACATATAATATATACATGATGATGATTAAAAAGTGACACTTCATCTTAAATTTTGCAACAGATGAGCGTGAACATTCCTTTTAAATACAAGTTTACTAGGAGATCTTCTGATGGAGTCGGGAAGGTCATTCCACAGTCGTATGGCTTGAAGAGTAAAGGAGTTGGACATATAGCCTGAATGAGAAAGAGGAATATAGAGAGCTAATGAATCAGCAGAGCGGAGAGGACGGTCGTGACTATCACAGAGATACTGAAACTTGCATTTCAAGTACTCTGGAGAATGTAATGTAGTATTATATGGATGTCGATTCTGGCATGATTCTCTAAACCTAAACTTAAATTTGACAACAGTGCATCCTTGTCCTTCTCTATACAGAATGAAAAGGTGAGACTGACCTTTAATTTAGTTTTAAGTTTAGAGATGCACGCCAGAATTGACACCACAATGTAACTAAAAATTTACGGTTTTAGCAATTTTTCCTTTATCTGCACTATAAGACGTTACTTCTTAACAAATTTCAAAATTCTAAGTTCACGGGAGGTACACTGTAGGTTTTGATTCCCGTGCGAGATTAAAAAATTTGCGGCATAAACGGCTGTATCTTTTGATTGCTTTGGCTTAGAAGTTTGATTTTTTCACAGCTCCATGGAACAGTAGACCTGAGTATTAAAAATGGATTTCAGTTTGATACCTCCACGCATTCCTGAGAAAAACGGACGGATGGACAACAAAGTGATCCTATAAGGGTTTCGTTTTCTCCTTTTGGGGAACGGAACCCTTAAAATTATTTAGATTTAAACATCTAGCCGTTAAATGCTTGAAATAAAATACAAATAATAATATTCAATTTTATTGTTATTTCTTCTTTCAAATGCTTAATAATTGTAAATATATTTCATTTGACATTCTGGGTTACTGGCTGGCTGGTAAGAAATACTTAAGAAAATTCGGCTCTGGAAAAATCAGGGCTGCTATAGCATAATTGGTCAGTGCATCCGCCCGGATTGCGGAGGATGCCGATTGAATTCCCGTCTGATGCCTGACCGAATGGTATTGTTTCCAATAATTTTTTTTTTAGATTTATACATTTAGCAGCTAAATGCTTAAAATAAAATAAAATATAATTGCTATTTCTTCTTTCAAATGTTTAATACTTTATAATGTATTATTTCATTTGACACTGTGGGTTACCTACAATGTGAAGAGATGGCGCTGCCTTGCAGCCTAAGAAATACTAGAGAAAATTCAACACGCCCATCAGTGCCGCGGTAGCATAATTGGTCAGTGCATCCGCTTGGATTGTGGAGCGTACCGCTTCGAGTCCCATCTGCTGCCTGGGCCGCGTGGAATTATTTCTAGTAAAATTTTCTTTAGATTAAAATACTCAGGCAATTCAGTACCCCTTTATTTTCTGTGATACTGTTGCTTCCCTCCAGTTTTGCTCTCATCCGTCCTCTTCCTATTCATTTTCTTTACCGGCGCCCTTGCTTTCTAACCCTAGCCGAAAAAAATTAACTATCTGCGCAACCGGGTCTAAATCATCGAAACTGAATAAGCACCTTTTACTATCTGCGGGAATACACTGGTCATATGCTACCGGTAAATGGCCGTTGTTGATAAAAAAACATGAAAAAAAAACATGTTTTTTCTAGAGCATGTTTTTTGCACGAGTATGGAATCAAAATTAATAAGGAAGTTCCCTTTAAAGATTAAGCATAAGAGTTTCTATAATTTATTAAAGTTTTCTGTTTTATTTTAAAACCTCCCTCACTTTTTTGATTGAAAATTTATCAACCAAGCTTCTCACGACGTACGGGAAAATTCTTGAATTCTCCGTTCGGTTTTATTTTGTTGGAAGTTAACAGAGTGCATTTGAAAATGTTTATTTTTTTAATCTATACCTATGTTTGATCTGATATATAACAAACCTAAATAAAATATTTATTTATCAATGAAATAAAACACTTATGAAAAAACAAAGGCCTACTTTTTTCATGATTAAACACAGAGAATACATACAGAGTTCTGTGATGTAATATGACCGGTAAGTATATTTTTAAGGACATATAAATTTTGACTTTGTACAAATGCTTTTCCCGATCACGTGCCCACCTTCCTCCCTCCGTCCTACAACGCGGGATCCTTTAAAATAGGCGTGAAATAGCAACTTGCAGGTTTGCCACGACAACGGCTAACTAGAGCCGAGATCCGAGGTTCAGAGATGCCCTCTAGTTGAGCCGACCCCCTCAGGTTCGAGTGGTCTAGAGGCTCCAGACGGAGAGGAGGCTCCTCCCGTGGGGAGATGCTATCCGCCTGGAATACCTCTAGAGGCACTCGCCAATTCTAGGCTTGAAGTCCCCTTAGGATCTCGCCGTCCCCGAACCCGCTGACGTTGTAAAGGTCATCCGAGACCAACTGCATACACACTAAAAAAAAACTTGCAGGTCGGCAAGGTGCGGATGGTTGGTGTAACAAAGTAAATCTACTGCAGTAGCTATCTTCGCATCTGGCCTCACCAACCACCGTCACTTAACATCAAGTGAGGTAAAATCTTACATTTAAACCTTAGAAAAATAACGCCCTAAAGTTTCCTAATATTCTACCAAGTTATATTTAAATGCAATATTATTACCTTTCTTATTAGAATAGGTCAAGTTAAATGTTGCATTTAAGAAAAAATTTACGGACACAGTGTCTGAATTATTATTATTAAGTATTTATTTAATCATTGAAACATCAATTTATCATGATTTAAAACCTTGTCAACCTACATAATTGACACCTTTAATTTTAATATTTTTGGTGAATATTTGCACATAAATTTTTGAAGCTCTTTAGTATGGTCAGATACAAAAATTTAAAAAAATCATATGAATGTGGATTTGAGGGCTTGTTTTTCTGGGTTGTTGGGTTGTTTACCTGTGGAAGATACATTTTAACCGCTGTACCCTTGGCCATGAAACTCGACCAAATTAAGATAACAGTCAATCTTATGTAATTTTCTCGGATTTGTTTTAGTGTGCATCAGGATAACGGATCACTACTACCTACCTACAGGAAAACTGGTATACAAAGTACTCTACCAAAGCTATGTTCAATACGTACCAAATCTAAGGCCGTATACAGAAAGAAAGCCGAAAGCCGATCGGCGCCGATCAGCGCTTATCGGCGCCTATTGGCGGTGATCCTTTGGCCGTATACAGAAAGAAAGCCGAAAGCCGATCGGCGCCGATCCTTCCTACATAAAGGAAGCCGATTAAAGCAGATCAAGCAAAATGTCGGACTCATCGGACGATGATTTGGTTTTGTTAGAAAATATTTATTTAAAAATGCGAAAAACAGCTATACATCCTATAAATAGAGAAAGGAAACGTTTCGGAGAATACCATCATTTATTTGTAAAAAAAAATAAATTTGATGAACAAAGATTTAATACATATACAAGAATGATTCAAGAAACATTTTATTACATTTTGGATTTAGTGAAAAACCGTTTGATGTTAAATTGGGGCAATTGGCATAAACAACCAATCCTTCCAGAAGAAAGACTTGTTGTCACCATTCGGTAAGTACGAAACAAATAATTTTAGCGCTTAGTTAATAAAAGATAAAGTTATTAGATTTATAAAAAGATTATAACTTAGATTGATTTAATCTAAGGATAATAATTCAAATACAAATTATTTATTATTCGGACCAGCGCGTGTCGGCGCTTATCGGCGCTTATCGGCGCCGATCGGCGCCGGTCCATAGAAAAAGGATCAACGTCAATAGGCGCCGATAAGCGCCGATCGGCTTTCGGCTTTCTTTCTGTATACGGCCTAAAGGAAGCCGATTAAAGCAGATCAAGCAAAATGTCGGACTCATCGGACGATGATTTGGTTTTGTTAGAAAATATTTATTTAAAAATGCGAAAAACAGCTATACATCCTATAAATAGGGAAAGTAAACGTTTGGGAGAATACCATCATTTATTTGTAAAAAAAAAAAAATTTGATGAACAAAGATTTTATACATATACAAGAATGATTCAAGAAACATTTTATTACATTTTGGATTTAGTGAAAAACCGTTTGATGAAAAATTGGGGCAATTGGCATAAACAACCATCCTTCCAGAAGAAAGACTTGTTGTCACCATTCGGTAAGTACTCAGTACTCGTAATCTAAGGATAATAATTCAAATACAAATTATTTATTATTCAGACCAGCGCGTGTCGGCGCTTATCGGCGCTTATCGGCGCCGGTCCATAGAAAAAGGATCAGCGTCAATAGGCGCCGATAAGCGCCGATCGGCGCTGATTGGCGCCGATCGGCTTTCGGCTTTCTTTCTGTATACGGCCTTTTTCTATGGACCGGCGCCGATAAGCGCCGACTCGCGCTGGTCCGAATAATAAATAATTTGAATTTTTATCCTTAGATTAAATCAATCTAAGTTATAATCTTTTATATAAATCTAATAACTTTATCTTTTATTAACTAAGCGCTAAAATTATTTGTTTCGTACTTACCGAATGGTGACAACAAGTCTTTCTTCTGGAAGGATTGGTTGTTTATGCCAATTGCCCCAATTTTTCATCAAACGGTTTTTCACTAAATCCAAAATGTAATAAAATGTTTCTTGAATCATTCTTGTATATGTATAAAATCTTTGTTCATCAAATTTAATTTTTTTTACAAATAAATGATGGTATTCTCCGAAACGTTTCCTTTCTCTATTTATAGGATGTATAGCTGTTTTTCGCATTTTTAAATAAACATTTTCTAACAAAACCAAATCATCGTCCGATGAGTCCGACATTTTGCTTAATCTGCTTTAATAGGCTTCCTTTATGTAGGAAGGATCATCGATAAGCGCCGATCGGCGCCGATCGGCGCCGATCGGCGCTTATCGATGATCCTTTCGCTTATCGATGATCGGCTTTCTTTCTGTATACGGCCTAAGGTGGTAATGAATTAAAATAGATTTGGATTTCTATTCGAGCCATGGGCCCGCGGTGAATCGAAGTTAAATAGATATTAGAAAATTTTAACTCGACTATTTAATTAATATCCACGATCCCAATATACACTAATCTATACTAATATTATAAAGCTGCAGAGTTTGTTTGTTTGTTTGTTTGAAGAAGCTAATCTCTGGAACTACTGGTCCGATTTGAATGATTCTTTCAGTGTTGGGTAGTCCATTTATCGAGGAAGGCTATAGGCTATATTTTTCTTTTTTCAAAATTAGGGATCCGTAATATAATTGCTATTTTGTAACACAAGGTGTAAAATCGAAAACCTATTTTTGCGTGCGCTGCAAAAACTATTGACAATAGAACAAAATGATGTACTACGGGTTTGTAGATCCCATTAAGACCTACAAAAAAGTCCGCGAGTACATATATCTAGCTATCATGGTTTAATCACAATAACCGATTTTGAAAAATAATTATTCAATCGTCTGAAGAAAAAAAAACTACGTTAAATATGTATCGTAATATTAATCTTTATCGAAATTAAGCATTATTTTATCAAGAGTATTTATGTAGAAGTAAAATACTTTTTGTTTCATCTCAATCGGATATTTCGTTTAAAAGTTATCACGTGTGTAAGATGTTAAGAGTTGGTACCTATTAATGAGTTATGGGCCATAGGGTTTTTTATCAACATAAAATCCTGTAATAATCTTTTTCGAAATATATTTGTTGATGATTGTAAACGCGGGTGAAACCGCGGGGCACGGCTAGTGAATTCATAAGATTCATAAAAAAATCCAAAACCATATTATCCAAAACCAAATGAACAAATAATTAAATATTAATTATTTATCCATTTCTATTCATTAACATTAAAATCCTTTTATCTTTATTAAAATTCACTATTTATTGACCAATAAAAAAATCATAAATATTCTTGAATGTACAATAAAATAACTTTCTATTCATTACTGGATAAATAAAACTATAAGAAAGTTGGAACTTTTACTATGTTTACAACAAAAGCCAACGAAAGGTTTTGAAAGCAAAGCAAAGAAAATCTTATTATAATTATCCTGAGGTTCATATAAACTTAATTCTTTACTACTACAAATTGACCAAAGTATTTAACCACCGCGCCCAATACTTACTTATGGCATATAATTAGGGGTTGGTGGAAGAAGGGAGAAAATTTTGGGTTGTATTGCTTTTTTAGAGACAAGCCAAACCTCTTGTATCTATATTTTTTTCCTAAAACTTAGCACCTTGCAAGTTCTATCCAATCCGACGGATCCGATATTGATAATCATATAGTCGACAACTTTACTCTTACTCGAGATAAAAGTTAATTACTTACATAGCGATCTCCACCATATTATGCTGTTATTATAAAAGGTTGTTGAGTTAGAGGTAACACAATTTGCTTGAAATTGCATTTGCCTCACCAATCTCACGCTATAGTTTCACTACGTAATGCTACGGTAGCTGGTGCAATGAAGCACGAACATTGTCAGTCACCTTTAACAAAGGTATTAGTATCAACTATCAAGTGTTTAACACACACGCGCAATTTTTATTTACTTATTACATTTTTGAATCGCTATGTGAATATGGGTTTATCCGGCACGATATTCTATGCAAATAAAAACTACCTTCTTCCTTTGATCCTTTCATCAGCCTCTCCTTTTCTTTCTATATATTGCATAAATTTATAAAGACATACTTCGGAGCTAGTTTAGTTATAGTTAGGTCATTGACATACTCAAAAGACATGTAGGCCAATTTCATTCATTAATGGAGAGAAATTACCATCAAGAAATGTGAACCTAGATACAGTTTGTCTATAAAGTGACATGAATGTTTGAGGAACTATGTGTACTATGTAACAGCTGATGTACATAAGTTGGAACACCAAACTTATGTACATCAGCTATCATCGAGTTTCAGTTGTAGAACAGTTTTCCTTTTGTATTTTTTATTGTTTGGATTAAACTGTAATAAATTAAGACGAGACTACGCAGAAAGGTATAAAAATGAGTAAAGTAAATCGGAGTGGCACGCGGGAAGTGATTTTTAAAGTTTTCCAGCGATGTTTCGAAGACTACCATGCTGGATGAATTTTGTGGGATTTGGATGATGTTTATAGGCGAACAGCATCTATGACGGGTATGTAATCGTGTAACTATTTGTTTGTAATCTGCCTGAAGTTACAAATTTACTCAATTTACGATTTTGAGACCAAAAAAGGCATTGTTTACATTGCACATTTTTAGGTAACATTGACATTGTAAATAGGTAATATTGTAGTACGACCATTTCTTTTGATACGTTATTATGGTTCAACTCGGTCAGGTTTTCTACCAATTTTGAATTAATTGCTTCATGTCAATAAGTTATTGTTTCTATTCCCTTACATATTTTTTTACTTTTTTTCAGTAAAATCAGAGTCGGATAGTCAACGAAGGTTATAAGAATGATGGAAAGTTTGAAACTCCTGGGAAAACAAGCAAGGCCGACCAAAGAAAGAAATGGTCACATAAAGAACCATGGCCAGATGCTTTTAGTGAAGATACCTATCATTAATTTTACTAACTGCACATTTACAAATTGTTTCTCTAAATAAACTTTTTATATACTATAAAATGATTTTTAGTATTATTTTCTTAACAAGTGTGTTAAAAAACGTCGTATGATACTTGTGTGTATTGATGATTACCTAACGGCTCTGGTCTCAGCGGTAATCACCAATTACACACTTTTACACTATAAAGTACTATTTTATCTATAATAATTTTATTCTGATTCAATTACATATGCTTGGCTAAACTTTTTATAAGCATAGGTACCTACTATATATAAAACAGAAACAAAATACGACTGTATAGTGTGTCTTAATTACCTATTTTACTTGAATGAACTGCTAGTATCAAAATCATTTTGGTCCGACTGTATAGGGTTGCTACATGCATACTAGAGGCGCCATCATTTAATGTCACGAATTTATAGACAAACTGTATTTAAGAGAAGAACTGGCCAAGCGCGAGCCTGGCCTCGCTCTATTAGGTTCCGTAAAATCATTTGTTTGTTTATGTCACAACTTACAAAGATTTTTTTTATGAATCTGCATTTTCAGTATTTGTGGCTTAAAAACAGCATGCATCATTAACCAAAATTTCTTTCTCTCTTTAACTAGTTTCGATAAGGAGATGGCCCCGTAACAAAAATGGTCTAAAACTGCCATCTATGCCCCCCCTTCCCCTTTTCTTTTTTATTGCTCCTTTTCATGTATGAGACCCCCATAGAGCAACACGGCCGATGCTGTTCGAAGGGGAGTAGGCAAACAGCTTTTCCCTCTGTCGATTCGAGTTGGGCATACAAACGATACATGTGTACAGGATTTGGCGATGTATTGAGTTATTGTTTATGTGTGAGTGTCGTAATTACAGTTTTGTTTTATATGCGTGTACATTAAACTGCGCTTCATATTCCGCCCCTGCAGGAAATGACAGAATGATTTGAATAGTATTATGTCGTTTTGGCTACTCCCTTCCATGTTGCTCGATGGGGACCCCATTTAAAAAATATTCGGCTTTTGGGCAGGCATTTTACATAAAATACTAAATGATCATTTCTATATTTAATTCCGTTTACGATGTAAAGACCCGTGATCCCTATGTCAGATATACAGAAAAGCAGACGACAGAGCGACAGCAGCAGAATAGGGTTCTGTTTTTACCCTTTGGGTACGGAACCCTGAAAAGCTAACAAAGAAAAAATATTTGAATTTTCATCGGCATCCCTCCGCATGCAAAATACAATACTAGGTACAAGTCTAGTCAAGAAGAAAAAACACCTGAAACATACTTCTTCTGGGTGACCTTCGTTCGTTGGAAACTAGGTATCAAAGATTTTATAGCTAAGTAGGTATTATTCAGTTGCAATTGTGAGTTCATTTATTTATGAAAAAAAAATGCAATCAATTTCTACGCATGAACTCATAGTGAAAATGATTGCCAAACGTAGACTTTATAACTTCGCAAGCACCAAACAAATACTTTCAGTGTTGAAAACTCTTTATTATGAGGTTAAGCCACCAAGGTCTTGCAAGAGCTCTGCGTGGTTCTGGGCTGGTCGGCTCCGAGGACTCACTTGTACGTCGTCTTTATCCGACTGATCTTGACAGTACATTTTGTTTAATTTCAGCACATCACTCTCCGATAACCCATTCCTTTGTCCAATTTTTACTCCATCCTGAAAAAAATATGTTACTTCACTACATAGTATAAAGCAAAGTCGCTTCCCGCTGTCTGTCCCTATGTCCCTTTGTATGCTCAGATCTTTAAAACTACGCAACGGATTTTTATGCAGTTTTTTTAATAGATGAGTGATTCAAGAGGAACGTTTATATGTATAATACATGTATAATATACCTAGTAGTAGTAGTATATAATGTCGTAAATAAACACATTTTTGCGCTTACATTGCAAACGCTGGCTGAACCCTACGAGATAGATTAAAATAATGTACTACAGTATTGTACACCTTAAAAAGGTCTACAAAAAAGTCCGCGATGGTATATGTCTATCTCTTAGGGATAACCCACAATAACCATTTTTTATTCTATATTTTTACGAGAAATAATAGCTTATTTACGAAGCGATTTTCAGCAATATAACATTCGTCCTTAACCAATTAAGAACCTTAAATACATTGTGTATTTAATACAGATAAATTTGGCCCTTTAAAGAATGTAATTTAAATAAATATTATCGAAGATATTAGAGAATTTAAAATGCAGGGACATAGCGATTCCGACGCTACCGGGCGGGGGGCCTTGTGGCGCGTGCCTATTGTAGTTACGTATAAGAAGAATGTCATTGTGTATAATACAAGCCTGAGAACAAAAACTATAGTCTACACTTCAGCTCTACACCGAGGCGAAGCGAGGGCGGGCCACTAGTTAATAATATTTTGTTCTATCTCCATGGATGAGTAATTTGCACAAAAACATCCTGATATTGTCATCTCTGATATCCTGGATTTCAATAACCAGGTCAAAATTGAAAAAAGATTGCGTATGTTAATTACTTTATTTAATTTGTCGCATGTTTGAGTCCCGTCTAAAGTCGCTCTTTTTTCGTGTATTTCATGTGTTTGTTATTCGATACTTTTCTTATACTTTCTTAACAATATGTTCATAAGCTAAAACTCACATGTAACGGGATGATTGTCTTATTTCCGTTCCTGGAAAAGGCTACCTCAGGGTAGTGCATTACACTGCCGTAGTCATACTTCACTCCGAAATCAGTAACGGTATCATTGTTGTACTTGGCAAAATTGTGTTCGGTACCTGAAGAAGTATTATCATAGATCAAAACTTAGGTATTGAGACTTGGATATATTCTGAGGATGTATTAACGGCTTAATACTCGTACATCCTCAGAATACATCCAACAAATATTTCGCAAAAGTATTTTGGAAATATTCAACAATAACACATACAAAAAACATTGTTTCTAAAACATGTTTCTCTACACACACCTTCTACTGCTCACATTGCTGTAGTACACACAATATACACAGGGCTGCGTTAAAAACTACGATCCATATGCAACAAATGTCAAATTTGACAAGAGTTTCATACATTTTATGTCAAAATTGAAACGTCAGAGTGAAAAGTTGTACTCGGAGCGTAGGTTTGGAAGAAGCGAGTTGTCAAAAAAATGCCTGATGAAAACAATACCCTGCCCCTTGCCGGGATTTGTGTGCGTGTTTTCCTTGAAAGCAAAAACTTTGTTGATGCAAACAAATATGTGATATGAATGTTGATATGTTTTGTACAAAACTCGCTCTGGAGACCTGGCTTAAGCCTTATCTATTGTTATTAAAACTACTGATTTGAACTTTTTTTTAATTATATCTTTAACTGTCTGCGACAGTTCTGGATCTGGTTCTCCAGTCCTAACTAGCTTATTGGCATAGTTTTTTGCAAACATGTCTAAATGAATATTACCTTGAAATATGTTGGTATCTTTCGCTAGTATCTCGACATTCCTAATTGCATTAACCTACTAACCTGCCTACAAAAGAATGTTTTTTTTTTTTATCCAGAATTAACGGCTACACATTGCTATTTTAATATGCATTGTCGATATTCACAGAGCGTTACAGGCATTCAATTCCAAACAGCATCTATTATTGGACGTTGTAAAACCTTACACTGCTGCAACCTGTCCACGATCTGTGATAAGTGTTTGTAATAAAAAAATATTGCAATAAAATACACCATCGCTCAGATGTGAACAGCGTTTTGTCGCAATTTCGCGATACCCGTGAAATTTCTGAGTGCCTAATTAAATTAGATACAATTCCAATGGCTTCTATTCTATCTAGCTGCTACCAAAAATATATTCGGTCACGCACTTAATTCTGTCATTCCGTAAAATTTCACCAAAAAGGCGTTTGTTGATATTTCGAAATTGCACCAACGATGAAACTGCATAGAAAATTCAGTTAGTCCCTAAGTCAATGCCGTGACAATTTCCCCCGTGTCATTGGCAATGCAACCGCAGTACATATGTCATATAGGTATATATGACAGATCAACATCGAGTTAATATTACTCGTGCAAGATCTCGGGACGTGCTCGGGACCTTACCAAAACATGAATCCTTACATCACCTCAAACCCGATGGTTAATAATGTGAGATGTTGTTATGCACAATGTAAAACGGCACACCGCCCGCTGTTTGGTCCGCTGCTTTGGAAACTTCATGATTCAAGAACAATATATAATTTAGCTTTCGTAACATGGATTACATGGGTTGGTTATTTTGTCTAAACCAATTTCTTGTGGTATTTTGCAGAATGCACCTGTAGCAATGGAAGCCATGACATAATTCGCGCGTCGTGCTAATTTTAATAAAATTTCTCTATATTCAGCTATTAGTTCGTACTATTCCGAAATATCAGTAGTTAATGTTTTTATTTTTATTATTTTTTTAAACATTTAACTGCTATTTTTATTAGTTAGTTAGTAGTTATGTTTAAATCTAAAGAAAAGTTTACTAGAAAAAAATCATGTATCAGTAGTTAAATTAAGAAAAGACGCGCTAGGATCCGTATGTGAATATTTGACTCGACGTCTCCATACAACAAAAATCTAAGGATATGACAATATGTAAGTATGCATATAAGCATGGAGAAGCTTTTATTCTTACCAGGTAAAATGTTTTCCCAGACAATCTTAACAAATTCGTCCCTATCGTAGGTGCTTTGCATATGGTAAAATCCTAGGGTGTGAAGCATCTCGTGCACGACGGTTCCGTGCTTGAAGCAGCCCTTGGCCAGGTTCAAAACCTGGTTGACCTCGCCGCCGTCTGCATCGGGAGTATTGAACCCGACGTTTGAGAAACAACCGTTCGCTGATCCCTAAAATATGTTATGTTCTTAAGCCATTAGAGCTTGTTACTACATTGTTTCAGCACAGTATATATATACGCTAAAGCAGTACCGCAACTACTCCATTTTGTTGAGATAAATACCTACGCACCGATTGAGCGATAGGATTGTCACTCTGATTTTTTGTAAATCAATAGGCTTTTATTTATTAAAACGTTAATTTGGGTTCTTTAATTAATCCACCATACATACTATCATAATAAATGCAAAAGTGTGTCTGTCTGTCTGTCTGTTACCTCTTTATGATTAACGCTGAACCGATTTTTATGAAATTTGGTATATAGATAGTTTGAGTCCCGGGGAAGGACAAAGGATAGTTTTTTATCCCAGAAATCATCCTCTAATGGGCTGAAAAGGGGGCGGAAATATGTATGGGAAAACAATTTTTAAACGCAGACGAAGTCCCGGTCACCCATCAGTGATCAAATAATCCAATGAATTGACTAGTTTACAAACAAAATTGTGTAATTTAAAAAATCATTAACATTTTAAGAAATGCTTATTTTTTGTTATTATAAATTACTCACTGAAAAATACTTTCGCCTGCTACGATACGTTCGAAAAGCTTTATTATTAAAATTTATAGTGTTAAAAAATTCGCATTCTAATGAAAAGCTTTTTTAGATAAATTATTGGAAAACATGGACACGGCGCTATCAAAGTGATTTTTACTTTTCTTTGTAAATTAATACAGCTACTTTACAATTAATGTGTTCTCTTTGAAAACAACACCGAAATTTTTGATCCATTTTGTCGACATATTGTACAAAATCATCATTAGGAAGTTTAAAAAATGAAGAAGTCGAATTTAAGCAGCCCCAGCGTTAGGAGCTGCTACAGCACATTTGGTGACTTAAAATTACAACTAATTAAATACTAATACTTATGTTCCAAGTCTAAACGCCCACTAAGTAAGGCGTCGCTAATTGATAAGTAGGTACTGTATTATCGGTATTCTCCTCAGAAACAACTTTTTGTTAAGTATTTTGCGGTTTTAACAGAGCAAAAATAATACGTGTAAGTATACTATATTTGCGCTTTCTCCTCTAACAGGTTACTTACCTGGATAACAACAGCATGTTCTTTCTCCGATTTTCTGGGGACGAATTGAATGCACGATTTGTTGGCAAGATCCGCCATACCCTCTTCAATCATTTTTACTTGATCTTCATCTGTAAGATAGGCAACAATGATGCCATCAATACGAATTAAGCTTCATTTACACACTGCGAATACTTGCTGCGAATGCCTACTCGCCGCGACTATTCGCTGTGTGTGACTATGGCTTTATTGGCTGCCCAATCGCTTTGCCTATCTCACTCCAGACAGGGAACGCTTAGTCTCTATGTCTATGGAAGATACAAAAACACAAAATATCTATTTTGTGTATGAAGTATGCGAAAGTAAAACTGTAAAGGTCATAGCGCACTAGACCCACACGTCATCCGATCAGCACCGCCTCGGCGCGCGCCGTCCACTCGTGGACGCCACGCTGTCAACCAGTTTACGTCGGGTGGCACCATGGAGCATAAACAAAGAAGAGGTGTTTTATCGCGTTTACACTAAGATATGTAGGTTAGCGGGGGGAGGTGCAGCATGCCAACAGCGTTAACACGACGAGTAGCGAAACTTAAATCAAGTTATTTGTAAAAACGACGGCACACGCGAGTCGGGGCCGGACTAAGGATGTTATTAAATAACTTTCCCATATCAGTGACTTCGCTTGATTTCTTATCATTGGAGTCCTTCCTGATTCCAAAATCATTGCAGTCCTTCCTGGGATGTTTTGAAAAATCTATTTATTTATCAACAAGCTATTTTTCTTTAATGAGATTTACTAAAGTGGCGTAATAGAACTTATGTGTAATGAATAGTATTGGATCGTCATCCTTATAGTTTCGAAAGGACTTGTTTGTTACTATCCTTTTGGTAATAACTTCTATAACTGCCTACTTAAGATAATTGGACTGCTGCTGGCGTAATAAATAAGCAATATTTATACGAGACTATTGACTGATAAAACATAAATTGAAACACTATGTAACTACTTAGGTGTACTTAAGCGTCAAAAAGACCACGTTCGTGGTTAGGTACTTTTTTTTTTACTTTTTAACATAATGTTGATAAATACAAACCAAAGTCATCTTCTTCTATATGGTACACGACAGTGCGCTGCGGCCACCGTTTAGCTCCACCGCGCAAACCGTTTCGGTCTATAGCAATATGCACATCTCTCAATTGTGCCTTTGACAGCACCATGTCCCCTTCAAAGTGTTCCCCCAGTTCTCCAGCAAGGTTGGATGGTAGACCTGGATACGGGCAATACTTAAGGATCCTTTTGTTTGCGCACATGGCACCTTGTAGGTACTCTATTAGTAGGTGAAGGCAATAATATATCTTTGGATATTGAACAAGTTTCGAAAAGTCTAGACGAAATATAAATACATACGCGCATAAATTTAGAGACTGTAACTAATTGATTAATTCTTTTTTTGTTGAAAGCTATACCTATATCAATAATTTGTTTTTGTAATATACTAGAAATGGATTAGTGGGTTGTATATTGGAATCTCAACTCTGTTCAATTTGTCATTAGTATACTGAACCCGTGCCAAGCCCGACGGCTTGGCGCGGGTTTAAATTAAAACATTATTTATTTATTTATTTTCTAAAAATATCTTTTTAAAGACTTAATCACTTTATTTAAAGACCGTTATATGATAAAGATGTAGGTAGGTACTCACCTCTTCTATATCCATCATATTCGAGTACATTGAGATCTCGTTCCTCCGATATCGGCGCCGCTCTGATACAAGTTACCAAAAGAAATTTGACAAAGATTAAAAGGATCATTCTACAGACAAAATAACGACTATCCGGATGCGACGCGATACAAATACCATGTGACTCGTCTTCTCCGTTCATGTAATATTTATAGGGAATCTCCAATACATTTAACAATGGCATAAGCATTTGATCACCTAATTACATAGATAAGAAACCTTAAACATGTCTAGGCTTTCGAAATAATCGCTTTCTGTTTCCCCACTTGAGTTTTATCTATGAAAGACCTGCTGAGCTCCCTGCAGGACATGTCGTTTACTCGATAATCAAATGTTTCGCAAATGTTAATGACACCTATATTGATTCTTCACCTTCAAAATACGGTTATCTCTTTTGATAAACGATTGCCTTGACTGTATTTAACTACGCATGCGATGTTGAGTGGGCAATTGTACATTAAACCACTTTGATTTAATAATCTTAACTTAATAGAACATTCCGTTGCCTACTAGTTGTATTATTGTATGTAGGTATTATGCATACTGGCACCAAGTAACAAAAAAATATCTTAATGTTAAAATAAGTTACTCCTAAGAACCCACTTGCATCAAATTTGCTAAATTTCGATTCAACTAATAACACAAGATTCAACTCATAGAAAAAAATCAAAACGTCCCTATCAATTTGATATCATTGTGACCCACTCGCAGTAAAGTCAAATCTCGATTCAAATAAAACAAGATTGAATCTAAAGAAAAATGATAAAACGCCAATGTCAATTAATATTAATATTTTTAATATTTCCAACACTTACACCAATTAGCCTAGAACCAAAGTAAGCACTGTAAGGCTTATGTTATGGGATGCTAGGGTAACGGAAAGAATACATATACTGTACATATATAAGTATATTTATAAAGAAATACATATTAAACATTCATGACTGGAGTACAAATTGCTCGTATTCATCACACAAACATCTGCCCCCACCGAAATTCGAACCCGGGACCTCTGGAGTCGGCGACACCATGAAACCCGGCGTACAAACCACTCGGCCACGGAGGTCGTCAAAAGATAAATTAGAAATTATTGTATAGCTAAATCTAGTTATGCTTAAATCGCGCTTGAATTTGGCAAATTCGCTGCAAGTGGGCCTGTATGGGATGAATCTATTTTTATTTCAATTGAGATTTCGCAAAAATACTGCAAGTGGACCTAATTTTCTGACAGTAGACAGATAAATTATCAAAATATGACATGCATTTTTTCTTTATTCACATAATCTTAACATCACAGAGTTAGATTGCTTTGTAATGTCGCATGACCTCACGTCTTGGTACAAAAGTGACGTCACGAGCCCCCTCGCGAAATTTGACACACTTTCTCGTTGTTATTTTTGGCATATTGACAAAAGCAAAAATTTGTGTCGCCTATTTTTTGATAATCTTATAACTGATGGAGTGAATAAATTTTACTTTACCCCGTCATCATCACCCCTATTTTATTGTTCCCATACACTAGTAAGTTTACATAAACTCAAGAAAAAAATATGAAGGGGCGTTAAAACTCATGTAGTGGCCAAGTTTTGTACTAATTTCGGGGAAATAGACATTTGGAAGTCGTTGAAGTTCTCATTAAATGAATTGACTGAGAGTCTTTCTGCCACCAATTTGATATTTTCGGAGTTTCGCACTTTTCGACGATGGGTAAGTGTGCTAGACATTTCTAAGGCCTTTGACAAGATTTAGCACGGTGGCCTCGAACTTCCTGCTTATGGAATTCCCACTAGTTTTTGTGCTTGGATTTGTCATTTCTTAAGGGGAATATATCTATTCGAGTACAATTGATGGATCCTGGTCCGATCTAGATATTGGCAATTAATGCTGGTGTACCTCTGGGATCTGTTCTCTTCCGCAACTTTATCCCTGCTACATAAAGAATGTACACTTTTTCATTTTAAAATATTAACATTTATTTTCTGAGATAGTTCGATTAAGTATAGAATAAAATATCAGTCAAATGGCCGCCATGACTCTGAAGACAAGCCATTACTCTTTTCATGCAATTTTTCATGACTTATTCTCAAACATGTGGCTGTATCTCACCGATGACGCGTTGGATTTTGGATTTTAGCTCAAGAATTGTGTCTGGCTTATTCGCATAAACCCGAGATTTCCCAAAACCTTGATGACAAAAATCAAACAGCGTTAAATCGCATGATATTGATGGCCAGATGACATCAGAATTTTATCATATAATTTTTAAAAAGTAGTTTAGCGCAATAAAATGCGCTTCTTGAAACAAAGATTCTTTTTCTTTGGGGTCTTATGACGCTTGAAATAATTTATTCTTTGTAAACCAAAAAAAATCTCACAACAATAAAAAAAAAACATGTTTTTTTAATTTAAAATGAAAAAGTGCACTCTTATTGAGAGTGAGAATGAAAAGTTGAGCGCATTAATTCAACCCTTCAAAGGTATCCGAATGAGACTACGTACAAAAATTAAGCCCTGTTGAGTGGCTACAAATAAAGAAGATCTAATCAGTTAGTATGCCCTCAGTACTTACGTGTTCAAAATTTACTGCTACAAAGTAGTTAAAGCTATGTTTACAATTTACCTTCTAAATATTACCATTCACCAAAATTGTTTGAATTGGTCGGATACAGTAATATGAAAATTGAGGCGTTTCGTCTGAGAGCCGACATTCGGTGAGTAGTAGCGTTCGGCTTACAACAGCTACAAATTTATCCTTCTGGCTACAATTTTTTTAAGGTCATTGTAAATCTTTATGTTTATGAAACCTACGTTTTCCACTGTGGCCTCTCGGAGGGCACGCACGTAAATATTTTAGTCCGCCCCTAATGTTGAATCCTTATTCAGTTCAAGTTCGCTCTTGCATAGTGTACTGCTCTCAACTGTGGGATGGATCCGCCCGCAGCTTGAAACTTTGAAAGCTATTTACAGACGTTCTATAAATCTCATAGGCATCATCATCATCATTAACATCGCCGCCTTGTTGCATGTCTGAGTGTTTTCTACAGGTTTTTTTTCGGAGAGTGTGCACTAGAAATATTCGAACTAATTTCGCACCGCTGTAAACCTTGTCAAAGGCTGCATCTTTTTACCATCGGACGACGAGACGTGGACAGGGTGTTCACCCGTACGTGGTTGACATACCTCCCCTGCGCACCTCATTCGCATCCTCCTTTAGAATGCTTATCGTAAGGGAATGGAACTCACTTCTTGCATCTACAAATACATTTTCCCCAATATGCTTGGAAATGTGAGCATTATTTTGACAACCTTCTTCGAGATAAATCGCAATTGCTGCAGTACTGGCGACATACATGCGAGCAGCGGCCGGTAAAAGTTGGGGTTGATCTCAGATTGTCTAGGTCGCAGTGTGACTAACCCCCATTATTCATTATATTGCAAAATGCCTACAGATCATTTCGTCTAGATCTTTAAACGACTACATCGCATAATGCCTAGGATCACATATGAAAATCCCTTAGGTATATGCTCTAAGGAAAATTCATATCTGTCGTGTTTAGTGACCAAATAAATTACATCCATCCATCCATCCATCCATCAGCCTTTCTCCGTCCACTGCTGGACATAGGCCTCCCCCATAGAACCCCACAATGCGCGGTCCTGCGCTATCCGCATCCAGCGGCTCCCAGCACATTTGACGATGTCGTCAGTCTACCTTGTTGGGGGCCGCCCCACGCTGCGTCGTCCGGTACGTGGTCGCCACTCGAGGACCTTTCTTACCCCACGGTTGACAGATCCTCGAGCGATGTGGCCTGCCCATTGCCACTTCAGAGTGCTAACTCTTCGGGCTAAGTCGTACACACCGGTCCTTCTACGGATCTCCGTATTTCGGATCTTATCACGTAGGGAAACACCAAGCATAGGCCTCTCCATAGCACGCTGCGCGACTCTGAGTTTTGTTATGAGGCCGACATTCAGAGACCACATCTCAGTCCCATAAGTCATCACTGGTAACACACACTGGTCATATACCCTCTTTTCAGACACTGGGGAATTTTGGCCGTGAGGTGTGCCTAGGCTTCCCGAACGCTGCCCAGCCGAGTTGGATTCGTCGGTTGACCTCTTTCTCGAAGTTGGATTTGCCCTGTTTGTCCTAGGTAGACGTAATGATCGACAACTTCGAAAATCGCATTCCCAACAGATACTGGTGCTGGAGTGACATGGATATTGAACATGACCTTGGTTTTATCCATGTTCATCCTTAAACCAACCCGTTGGGAAACTCTGCTGAGGTCATTGAGCATTGCTCCAAGGTCCTCCAGGAATTCTGCCATAATGGAATCGGTTTCGTACTTCTCTCCTGGATTCGGACTGACATAGTGGCGTTTCTATACAAACACTTCAACACTTCGATATATCGATAGTCAATTTGGCACCTTAGATTAAAACAAAAAGGGTAGATACGGTACGCTCATACTTGCATCAAACAAAAACTGATTTCACGGCAGCGCGAACGGGACGGCGAGATCCGCGTCACTGCATTACCGACCCGAGCGAAACCGACCAATCACGCGACCAGTACTCGACGTCACTACCGAATAAGATTCAAAACAAACAGCAATTTTTATGAAAAAATATACTTTATAGTACTAACGAATGAAAAGTGATGCCGTGGGTTTTATTTTTAGTTCTTGAGCAATTTGAGCACTTTTCAAAAACACGCTTAGGCATTGTTTTATCATATAAACACAAAATATTAGCAATATTTCTTTTTGGCGTTCACATGTACGTCGTTTGCATGTCAAGTTGTGACTAAAGCGATTAGGGTCTTGGACCACAATTGGTGCGGATCACTTTTGTGAGGCTAGTGCCGTATCTACCCTTTTTGTTTTAATCTAAGTTTGGCACCGCTGGAGGGACTGCAGCACCGCTCAAGTCTCGACCGCATCGAAGGCCTTCTAATAGTCCACATATGCTATGTCTAGCATGTGGCCAATAAACTTACAATAAATTACATAGTAAACTCATCTATCGTGTACAAAATGGAACGATCTTTTACTCCGAAACATGGCAACCAAGGAGGTAACTTAGCAAAGGTTTTGTTTAAATTTCGAAATAGATCGATGTTTATGAAGAAAAAAAACAAATGAACTCTTTAACATGGCAAAAATAATTGTTGTTCGGCATTGGTTTTCGATTATCCGTGCTTTGCCCGTGGTACAGTTGAGATAGTTCAGTTGACTGGACCATGGTTAATTTTTTTTACAGTAGCATAGTTAACCAGACATTTTAACTAGTGGTAACTTTTGTTAACAATTGTACAGCTGACCTGACAGACGAATATTTTTATATTCCATAGTATAGCCGAGTGTACCAACGTACCAATGTTAATTTTGTATTTGTTAAACGAGATTAGCAAGCGGGCCTTATTGTATTTAGCTTGCTTATAATAAACTCAAAGTTTAGCGCATGCGCGAACCTCCATGGAATACCATCACAACACGTCACACTTCACTTGTCGATTTGCCATTTGCTAACGTGTTCATACAAAGTCACAATTGCATCGTCCGTCTCCTTTACTCTGCTTCCTCGTGAACCTGACCTATAGCCAATATCGGGGTTCTCACACCCCAAAATTGGCATTTTTAAAGTGAAAAAATTGCTTATATCTTCGTATTTGAACCGCCGACCATAGTGTTTTTTACCAACTGATGCGTCTCGGTCAGCTCTGTCTTGTATCCCGAGATCAAAAGCCGGAATTCCGGCCACAGATTGAGGAGATACGAGGAATCTTCCGCAGCCAACACGGAGTCGACGAAAACTTCCAGAAGTGACTGGAGTTAATCTAAGGGACACCGAAAGAACACCGGAAAAAAAACTCCGGAAAAAGTAAAGTGATCTCAGAGTTAAAGACCTTAAAAAAATATCTTTCTTGGAACTACCAAATAGGTACAAATAGTAAATTTGCGAGCTTATATCTCGGAAACCAGTGCGGCAATTTCAACTTAGATATGATAAAATGTTATGATATGACGACCTCCGTAGCAGAGTGGTTTGTACGCCGGGTTTCAAAGTGTCGCCGGACGCGGCGCTGACCTGAGACTTACATTATATTTCGTAATTTTGGGAAAATAAGTGCGTTGAAATAAAATTCCTGCATGCGCTTCTCACACAAAGATATTCCAACCCATAGATAGGTAGGTAAAACATCACGAACAAAATTAGTGGCCCAAAACCTGTCCTGAAGGTAATTAAGTTCTTAGTTTTTTTTTCTTTGAGCAGCCATATTTATGGCGTGTACTCATTTGAGTACACGAATAGATCGTTCCCGCAAGAAATCAGAAATTCAAGCACAAAGATTAGTTAGGATTGTAAACCTTGTCAAAGGCCTTAGAAATGTTTAGCGAGACAGCTAGTGCATCGCCATGTTTATTAAGGAGAAGATCACCAGTAGAACGGCTCTGGCAAAATCCGTATCGTATTGCCGATCACTGAGGTCATTGTCTTCCAGATATATCAACAGACGTCTAGTTAAAACATGCTCCATCACCTTACAGAGGATGGAGGTAATCGAAATTGGCATTCGCCTCAATACATTGGCAGGTATACCATCGGCGCCACTGGCTTTATTCACATCTAGAATGCGCATTATTCTAGACACCTGATGAATGCGGATTAGGACAGGTTCGCCTCTCCAGCTTTGATGTGCGACAGTGTATCATTAGGTTTCGGCAGAGTAAGGAGCGGCAAAAGTTAGCCTCGACACACTTGGCCAGGGACCAGAATTCCTTGCTTGAAAGAAGCGAGTTTAGGTTCCACGCGGCTGTCATGATGAAAACGGGCGGCCACGGTGACTGAAAAGTCGTTGACGTAAGTACATGCTAAGTAGTTGAATCAGCCCTAGCTTTATAACAATTTAGGTAATTACCGACACGACAGTTAGCTCTGCCGCACTAGCTACCTTCGATTTTGGACTCAGATGGAATGGAATCATTTGTTACATAATAATTCATAAAATAACGGAACAGTGTAAAATAAATCAAACCAGGTTTATGTTGTAAATAACGTGCTATATTTATTTTACAAAATAATTACAAAAAAAACTTGACACTCATAATGTAGACTGTACATGCATGCATTTCGGATTATATGGTGAATAAATGAAATAAATGTAATTTACAATATGTAATATCTATAATATAAAATAACTTTACTTAAAAGTAATGTTCAACATTATAATAATAAAACACAAAATAGTTTCCAAATTAAACGATAAAATAATTTCATTTCATTCATTATGGCATTTTATGTTTATACATACATAATACTGAATTCGCTAATACAACAAAAAATATATGTACGACGATCATTCACTAAAAAAGAAGTTTCATTCTAATAGAAATAAATTTTCTATAACTGTATTATTTATTCGTTCAAAATAATATTAGATTCGCACCCAGCCCCTACACTTGGGCGTAGTGAAATCTATCATAATGACATACTACGATTTATTTAAATAATTCATTAATTTACACGTCAATTATATTGAATAATTAATTTAGGCAGTCTTTAATATACTTCAATTAATAATAATTATATCAAACTGTTACATAACTCTCATATAAAGTACACTAAATAAATAATTGATAGCAGACAACAAAATGGTAACATACCCTACAACTTAACTATGAATCAAAACATTTACACAATACAAATACAATATCAGCACGTAATTCCAAGCACTGTAAAACATTCTAAATATTGGTCTAGTTTATTTATTGCATGGAACTTTTTATGTTCCTTTTTGAACAACACACAAACTACCAGATCGTTGGGAATTACATAATTATTCACAGACCAGTATTACACCAGTGTTACGTGATCGCTGATGGTCTTAACCGAAGTAGAGATTATTTTCACAGACGGTATCGAAATAACTAGAAGAGTTCTCTTTTACTGGTACAACAAAACCAACACACATGTACTTATCCATATCTCTCATTAGCTTCGTTGTAATACTAATGATTATTTCGATGTCGCGTCATTACTGGTGATCATTTATTATTAAGCACATCCTTCACATTTTCGTTGCTCCCTAGTTTTCAGCATTAATATTTTGCAAAGATTAAGAAAATCAAGATTGCTATTGCCAACGAATTGCTGAATAGAAATAGTTTACTTACGCAAATGTTGACAGACGAACTTAAGAATTTTTAACGTACGATTTTTGCTCACTGCTTTTTTTTCGTGATACTCCCATTTATCTTTGCACAGCGAGGAGTACAAACGGCATAAGATTAAGGCAACATCATCAGGACGCGACAAATCGATGATGATTTCTTTATAAATATCCACAGAGAATCAGAAAGCACAACCAATTTGTACTCGTCACCAAATTATTGTGGAACGTTATGAATTCTTTAACACTAATTAATAAGCTGATCAGAAACATCTCAATAAAATAAATGTTTTTAACATCTCATCCAATTATGTATTCAAGATGTTCAATAAAAAGTTTATATAAAATAAATGATGATAACTGTCGTATCTTAACGTATCCATAATCTTCCACAATTTACCTCTAAGCTTATTATTACAACACCATGCGACGAATGAAGCTTAACAATATACAATTGATTTTTCAAACGTGCAATACCGGCCCTCTACGATCAGAATATAATATACTGGGGTTTAATTATACTTACTGCTAATATTCACCTAATATAATTGCCTACGCGTACGCATAGAGGACGTCAAAAGACTGAACAGTCCAGAACACACGGATGTTGTCCATAATATTGTTTTTATGCTGATGTTTACTCGATGTAAATTTAAACTGACAATAAATCAATTAACTATTTTATGAAACTCAGAACAATCTCCGTGTAAACTGGCCACAAGCGGCACGCTACTCGAATATCACAATTGTGCAGCGACTCTACCAATAATAAAAAACAATTATTGCTATTTCATTGAAGACTCATTTGTCTTAAGGCAAATTAAATGCTGATTACATTTATGTGTTCCTTAATAAAAAGAAGAATGTAATAATTACTGTCAACATTTATCGAATCAATTATAGACCTCAACATGTTCCAAAGTTTACATAATCTATCTACAGCTTCATAGCCTATACTGTTTCTAAAGTTTATTTAGAAGTTAAATGACACAAATCGTGACGATTAATATATATAAGAATATAATTTAAAAAGTTTGTTACTCATAAATATTTTGCTTCCACATAGGTAGTAACCCTTAGGAAAAATATAACTCGAGAATATCAAAAATAATAGTTGATTGAATTTTACCATTTTCAAGAGACTGCATAAAAATATAGTAATGACATGGTTAAAATAGCTTTTTTGCAAAATTCCACTATCATCAATGAAAATTTAGCGTAGTTTTATTCAAAGCTTCCCTAAAATATTAAACGTGGGCTCTCCGAGATGATGATATAGTCAGGATAAAATTTTATACAAGTCACAATCTACCTAGAAAGGTATCAAATAAATAGCTCATTATGCAATGTCGTGCATTAACCATAATACAAAATCTCACTTTGCGTGCAACTTTGTACCTACCACGAGAGCTTTGTCATAAATTCGAAAGGATGAACAGATAGTAACAATAATTGTACTATATCGCATTAAGCACTATCATTATAACAATCGTAATTAAAAAAATCAATTTCTGTTTATTTATATAGAAATGGGACGTTTCTAATTTTCAATCATTTGGCACACACTTTACTGATATGTATTAATTGTACAGTACACTAAACAGGTAGCACATAGTGCTGAGTATAAAAATATCATTAAAAAACTATTATCTTTCAATGTGCGGCATGTTAATGAAATCGAATACCGGGGCCTATGACGTTAAAATATGGAAGCCCCGAAAACAAATGAAAATCAACGGGTCTCGTGTCTTTTAAATTCCGCAGTTATTGTAAGAAACAGTCCCATTTCATATACATACTTAAGTTCAATCCAACGCTGAAACTCATTATATATTAAAAATACCTATGCAATCGACGTAAAAACGAGAACATCGGAAATTCCTAACGACGGACTACGTTACTATAATCGAACAGTAGTATGACTACCAATCTACTATTTCAAAGTTCCTCTAATTCGATGTACTGAGAAGTGTTAATTTCAAAGCTGGCATATACATTATACATACTGACACGGATGGCTAACATGACAATAATTTTTATCAAGCTGATTACCTAAACACCAAGGCGTTGCTCGTTTATTTAGTACACTATTCAAGTCACATGCTGATATGTAATAGATGACAGTAACTCGATTCAAATACTGATAGAGATATTTGGCTTCCATATTATATTTTGCTTCACATGAAAAGCATTGAAACTATAAGCGACTAAATGCACCACATGTGGCTTCCAATCTCCCACGCACCACATTCGCTCTCAGATCGATCACAGATGAAATCGCACAATTACGAATAAATACACTAAAATTAATTAGGCCTTTTTAGGACAGATAATCACAATTCATTTAACTTACACAATTCCTTATAGCATTTTCCATTGAGCGGATTGCATCTTTGTCCATGTGTTTTCTTTATGTTTATTCTTTGGGATAAATTCTGTGAACAATAAAAGTAAGGTTTACATACTTCATGTGTTTACAATGTCTGTATATCTATATTTTACCATGACTTCTAAATGCTTGCACATAATTAGTACATGTATAGGATATCATATGACATTGGTAATAACTCAAAATTTAAAAAATGGGTAGAAAACGAACTGCTAATGAGATAGATACAAGTACAAAATAGTTACTGAAGTCGGGAGAGCTGGTCTCCGACACTTGCTGTTAGGAGGCAAGAGGTAATATGACACAAGAGTATAGTTACGTTTATAATAGCGGTCTAGGCGGTGGTTTACGCGAGTGCGGGGGCAGGTGCAGTACGCGTCCTGCCGCCTCGTGATAGTCTCCGACACTGGCTGTCAGGAGGTGAAAGGTAACAAGACACAAGAGTACAGTTACGTTTATAATATCGGTCTAGGCGACGGACTGCATTGGCGCGGGGGCAGGTGCAGTACGCGTCCTGCCGCCTCGAGGCCTGATAGTCTCCGACACTGGCTGTCAGGAGACGAAAGGTAACAAGATACAAGAGTATAGTTACGTTTATAATAGCGGTCTAGGCGGCTGTCTGCGCGGGTGCTGGGGCGGGGGCGGGCGCGGGCGCTTGGGCGGGGGCGGGGGCAGGGGTCGGGGCAGTTCGCGTCCTGCCGCCCCGAGGCTTGATAGTCTCCGACACTTGCCACATCGCCTCCTCGCTCAACACGTCGTCGAACTCGTTGAACATGGCTTGGATGCGCTCACTCTTCTTGAACTTGTACTGCCTGCTGGCAGAATGCGACCGGTGATTATACCATACATATAGATTGTATTTAAGGTCCAAAACGGATTGCATAATGTTGTTATTTTATAGTAGCCTTACGTGCTATTGTTCGTAAAACGAGCAAATTACTCAATGTTCATTATTTAATTATATGACCTTAATATAAAGTACATCTATGGGGAACTTTATGATAAGAATTTATCACTTTTGAACAGAAAAAATATATTTTTCACTTTTAGGATGAAATCCATCATAGATCATAAAGTCTTTTTTATCATCACGATAGAGATCTTCAACTAACTATAGACCACAAAATAATAAATGATAACGCACTCTTTGTGAAAGCGTTTCATATTCTCCATAATATGGTACTGCTGCCACCGCTTGGTGAAGTTTATGCTGCCGTCTTGCAGTAGGTCCGGGTTGCCGATATGCACAAACGTCAGATCTTGCAGAACTAGACCACTGAAAAAAGCCAAGGGAATTAAATTAACTTGAGTTTTTAGACCAAATAAACATAACTCTATACGTATATGGATTTTATAAATAAGTAACTGTAATTTAATTTTATTATACAGCACATTAAAATTACTTAGTAAATCACGGGTGGGGCAAGGACGACGAGTCGATACGCAATAGTCGTGCCCTGCCAACGTAGCATGAGCATCACAATTAACATTATATCACGTTTTTTATCGCGTCTAATTGTCAAACTTCATAGTAATTTGACAACAAATTGGGCGTGATAAAAAAGAGTTATACAAATGAATCAAATTTAGTTACGTATTTTCTTTATTTAACCAGTGATATCTCAATGTTAGTAAAATTATTTTATGTACCGTTTCGTTTAAGAATAGCCCTTATTAACTTGTATTATGTTTCATATAGTTTTGTTAATGGTAAATGTAAATTATTCATCTGTAATCTTTTTTATATATTTTTTTATGGAAATCAATTCAAACTACTTTCAGGGTGTGCGTAATTTCTGTTACACCTTGTATATCATATCGCGCGCTCGCTATCTATGTGGGGCTGGGAATTACAATTTGCTTTTACCAGCTTTGCAGCGTACCTGCATCCTCTCATTTTCAAGGCAAAAACAATGCTGAGCTTCTGCGTATTTGCATCACTGTCACTTACTAATGGCTGTAGTTTAGACACAGCGGTGATACTCTCTGTATCTGAGAGATCTAGCGTCAGTGACCTTGAGCCAGAGCGTGAGCGTGTGTGGAATTTAGACTTATGTCAATGAATATGTATACATAGTAGGTTATTAAATGTAAACTGGTTCAAGGATACCGGGTAGGTAATGTAAGATGGGTTTGATTTAAATCGATTTATAATCTTTTAATGTAGGTAATATTACAAATTGCTAACTTTTATATATTTTCTGCTTTTTCGATTCGTTTCATAATTCTTATTATTATCTCTAATAATTGCGAAAATTCGTAGCCGTATGTACAATAAAGCCCGCCGGGCATAATAATAAGGTTGCGTCGCGTAGTCAGTCAGTGCAGTGCAGTGCAACGCTATTATTTCACTATTTGGCTACGGCCAACGGCCCTCGGTCGAGGCAGTCGGCGACCGCCATCTCCACGCCCCGCGCAAGACCCCCGCACACCTCCAGACACCTACACATAGCCGCGGGCGATTTTACGAGCACACATGCTTAAATGTCATTTCTTTTCGCGTAGTGTTTACGTGGTTTAGACTTGATATTTAAGCATCGTTTAAACTTATAATCATCTATAGGGTGAAATTGAATGTATTAATGAAACTTCGTGGGATTGTTGGGATTGTTGGGTTACGTATATAGAGTATCTCTGAATTTTTTCGGGTTTTTTAAAAATTATTTAAAATAAAATTTTGTTTTTTTTGTTATATTTAAGCCTTTTCCTCCTTTTGGGTACCAAATAATTATTCTTTTTAAACACGCATACAGAGTAAGTAAAAAACAACTAATAAGCACTACTAAAAAAAACCGTAAAAACGGAAGGCCGGGAGCAATGACCGCTCCCGCCGTTGAATACCTTCCTCTACCTACCTATGCGCGGTGCAAAGCGCAGTGAGCGAGCGGAGTCTCAAGTCTAACATTCGCGCATGCGTATCTTTTAAATTTGTGGCAAGACAAGATTTGCAAATAATTCTTTGATTAGTTATTGTTCTGTGGCCTCAATATAAGAAGTTGGATATGGTGTGTTGTTATTGTAGTGTCACGGAATACTCAGCAGAGCCACAAGGCTTTACGAAAGTAGGTTTAGTGATTGATTCTGTTTACAAAGTGTATACAGGAAGTTATAGTGAAAAACAATAATCGGTACATCGGTCTCGTAAGTACTTCTGAATACCTGGTTATAAATTTCATTCTGACCCAAGTATTGAACTGCATGAGTATTTCTTTTTGTTTAACATTTGCCTATTTCCAATCGTGACAAAATTATTATTAACTTTTTAAGTTTTTCTCTGCTTAAGAGAAGATGACATTTGTGATTATTATTTTAATAAAGTCATCTAAGATGATTTTATTTTATTGTGTGGAATCAAAGGAGTCAGCTGCTGAGCTCTGTGTACCTACTCACTCAACGGCTGGCGGACGCGGTCGGTTGTTGACCCGCGCTGGCCGCGCCAGCTTAATTTTACTGTTTTTCAGTTTTTTAGAAATGCTTATTTATTAGTTGTTTTTCACTGGATAGGTAAGTATACTAGTTTAAAATGAATAACTATTTTAAAGGAAAAAGGCATCCGCTAAGAAAGGACATTAAAATACACAAATTATAAATAAATACATGAAAAAAAAACTTCAAAAAAATGCGAAAAAAAATCAGGCATACTCAACACGTAACCCAACAATCTCACGAAGTTTCATTAAAACATTCAATTTCACCCTATATGTCTGCAGTGATAAAATGTATAATTAATTTGTGATGCAAATAAATATAAATTAATTAATAATAAATATTTCCAACACACACCAATTAGCCTAGCCCCAAAGTAAGCACTGTAAGGCTTGTGTTATGGGATACTAGGGTAACGGATAGAATACATATATTGTACATACGTATATTTATATAGAAATATATATGAGACATCCATGACTGGAGCACAAATGCTCGTATTCATCACACAAACATCTGCCCCCACCGGGATTCGAACCCGGGACCTTTCGAGTTGGCGACACCATGAAACCCGGCGTACAAACCACTCTGCCACGGAGGTCGTCCAATTCATGAATGAATTGAATATGATTGTGACTCACATGTACGGGATGCAGGGCGGCTGCGTCTCTGCCAGCGCCTGCCTGTAGGCGCGGAAGGAGGACGACGAGTCGATGATGGCGCAGTGGTCGTGCAAAGCGTCCACTATGGCCCGGGGCCAGCCCAGACGTCGCACTGGAGGGGAATCCAATGCAGACACCAACGCAAGGTATGAGTTGAAGTTGTTCATCTTGCGTAAAGCTTTCATCACTTTGAGGAACTTGCTCGCGTACTTCTCTCGCTCCCTGGCCTCGTCCTGGTGTGAGGAAAATAATTATTTTAGTATTCATCATCATCATTATCAGCCTGCTGGGGTACAGACCTTCCTTATGGATGGAACAGGGAGACTGACCGTGACCCACCATGCGGGCCCAGTGCGGATTGGTGTGTGCTAACGACTGCAGTTGTAGCCGGGATCAGAGGCTTACCGTGCCTGCCGAAACACAGAGGAGCTCGGAATAATAAATTTTTGGTCACCCATCCAATGACCGATTATTGCTAGAGTTGCTTGACTTGCACGCTCGCAGACGCTAACCACCTAGAACATCGAGCTCCTCTATATTTTTTAAAGAAGATAACACTGACCTGTTCGAGTAACCTCGATTTCCCCCAGTAGGTCATTTTATTGATGTGCTCTGTAAATCGGGTGAGATGAGGCAAGCTCTCTTCGAACTGATCTCGCGGCCAAGAAAACACTTCGGCGGTAGTAATGCGGACGAATAACTACGCGTTCAATAGTCATCTGTTCCGCTAACTCTGGTTGCTTTACTATATATTTTCATCATCATCATCAGCCTATTTGTCCCTACTGCTGGGGCACAGGTCTTTCCTATGGAATGGAAAGATTAGGGATACTGGCCGTGACCCAACACACAGGCCTTCATGCCTTTCCAGGCACGGAGGAGCTCAAGATTATAAGTTGTTGGTTACCAATCTAATGACCGACCAATGGGAATTGCTTAACTTTCACGATCGCTGGCCGAATGAGCTAAACATCTGGGCCATCGTGCTCCTGTATATTTTGATAGTAGAAGATTAACACTGACCTGTTCTAGTATCCTAGACCTGGCCCAGTAGCTCATTTTATTAAAGTGCTCTGTGAATCGGGTGAGATTAGGGGAGCTCTCTTCGGACTGGTCTCGCGGCCAAGATAACACTTCAGCAGTAGTAATGCGGACGAATAACGCCGCATCGAGTAAAGTCATCTGCTCCGCCAATTCTGTCGCTTTGAAGTCTAGTAACGTATCCCTCCGCAATGACACTGTGCCGTAACAGGGGTTGTCGTACTCGTACCTATTGTTGGCCTGAAATGACAATCGCAGTTTGAAATATTTGGCATTTTATCAAGATTAGGGGCCGTTCAAGTATTACGTAACCAGCTTTATTACAATTATTTACGCCCTCCTCCCCTTGTCAGCAAAAGTAAGCAAAGCCCCTCCCCCATGCTTACGTAAACATTGGTACCTATATGCATTTTTCCTTTAATGTATTCTGTTTTTTTTTATTGATTCATGAGCTTTCATGAGCTTCATGAGCAGCACTAAACTACTACTACTACGTACTTAATCACTATTTCTACCTCGGGGGGGGGCCCATCTCATCAAAAATAAGCAAAGCAAACACCCCCCTGCTCCCCTATAGTATTTACGTAATACTTGAACGTCTAATGGTAAAAATCAATTTTATATTGAGAATACTAGAAATTCGTGGGCGGAGTAGGTAGTAATGTTAATTTTCGTAATGATTGTAACAAAGTGTAAACAAATAATTATGCTTTAATTAAATAAGCGCCAGTGAAAGTATATCAAGGGTTGGTCAAGTACGAAGGTTTAGTGGAAATATCAATAACAAGAACGAATTGGCAAAGAAGAAAATGGACGTACCTGTTGGAAGTGTAATTGTTTCTGTTTATCGACTAGTATTTGCCTTAAAGCTTTTGCAATTGGCAATTCTTCCACTTCGACCAGCCAATATATGAACTCCATTATTTCTTGCATCAGTGGTCGATCTAAATCTGCCATTCTGTGAAAAGAAAAAACATGTTAATATAAAATTATCATAAAGAAAATATAACTAGAAAAAAATTTTTTTTTTTTTTTCACGCGGACCAGGCAGCGGACGGGACTCGAACCCGCACCCTTCGCAATCCGGGCGAATGCACTGACCAATTATGCTACCGCGGCCCTCACGGACCGCGTCGAAATTCCTTCTAGCTATTCTTAAGCTGCAAGGCAGCGCCATCTCTTCGCATTATAGGTAAACCCACAATGTCAAATGAATACTTTTACAAGTATTAAACATTTGAAAGAAGAAATAGCAATTATAGTTATAATTTTTATTATTTTTAAAGCATGTAACTGCTTGATGTTTAAATCTAAAGAAAATATAACTAGAAAAAATTTCACGTGCACTGACCAATTATGCTACCGCGGCCCTCACGGACCGCGTCGAAATTCCTTCTAGCTATTCTTAAGCTGCAAGGCAGCGCCATCTCTTCGCATTATAGGTAAACCCACAATGTCAAATGAATACTTTTACAAGTATTAAACATTTGAAAGAAGAAATAGCAATTATAGTTATATTTTTTATTATTTTTAAAGCATGTAACTGCTTGATGTTTAAATCTAAAGAAAATATAACTAGAAAAAATTTCACGTTGCACTGACCAATTATGCTACCGCGGCCCTCACGGACCGCGTCGAAATTCCTTCTAGCTATTCTTAAGCTGCAAGGCAGCGCCATCTCTTCGCATTATAGGTAAACCCACAATGTCAAATGAATACTTTTACAAGTATTAAACATTTGAAAGAAGAAATAGCAATTATAGTTATAATAAAGCATGTAACTGCTTGATGTTTAAATCTAAAGAAAATATGAAGGAATTTCGACGCGGTCCGTGAGGGCCGCGGTAGCATAATTGGTCAGTGCATTCGCCCGGATTGCGAAGGGTGCGGGTTCGAGTCCCGTCTGCTGCCTGGTCCGCGTGAAATTTTTTCTAGTTATATTTTCTTTAGATTTAAACATCAAGCAGTTACATGCTTTAAAAATAATAAAAATTATAACTATAAAATTATCATTTAAAATGCCCAAATGGCAGCTGTGGCGCAAGTCGAGGTACAGTTAACGATATGTTAAGTGCGCTCGGGATTTCGCCGTACAAATAGATAATGAACTGAGCGACACGTGCGTGAAATTGACAACTCCCTAGAATAGAAAGAGATGGTGCAGCCATTTTTTTTTTATAGATAGGTCCGACAATTGACTTCACCCCACCTGATGTTAAGTGAAGGTGAAGTCCAGACGCGAAGATAACTGATACAGCAGTTCTACCTGCCACACCAGCCATCCTCACCCTGCCGGCCTGCATGTTGCTTCTTCACGCCTCTTTTAAAGGATCCCAGGTTGTAAGAGGGAGGGAACACGTGAGCGGGCAGAGCATTCCATTTACGGATAGTGCGACAAAGAAATGAGTCACCAAATTTCTTTGTACGCGTTGGAATTGTGGCCACAGTAAAACGGTGACAACGTAGGCCAGCGCGCGTGGTCCTCTGAAGGAAAGGGGAAGGTGGGATAAGAGAGAATAACTCCTCAGAACACTCGCCGTGGTGCAAACGATAGAACGCGCTTAGTGACGCCACGTCACGGCGTAATTGAAGAGGCTCAAGGTGCTTAGTCACCTCCTCATCGCCTATGATGCGGATCGCGCGCCGCTGTAACCTATCCAAAGCATCGAGCAAGTACTTGGCGGAGCCATCCCAGAGGTGCGAGCAATATTCCACGCAGGCCCGCACTTGCGTTTTGTACAACAAGCACAGTTGATCGGACGTGAAAAAACGCCGCACCCTGTTCAGGACTCCGAGTTTGCGTGAAGCTGTTTTGATCACGGTTTCGATGTAGTCCTTTGGATTCAGGTCTGAGCGAACTTCCATACCGAGCATGGAAATGTTGCTCTGCAGCGGTAGTGTTGTGCCCTGAAGAGATGGAAGGGGAAGGAATGGCGATGTTTTTGCCGTGAAAGCGCAAGCCTGAGTTTTCTTGGCATTGAACTCAACCAAGTTCCTGGTACCCCATTCGGAAATGTGGTCCAAAGCCTGATTGAGCTCAATGACAAGATTTTCCCGTTTCTCCTTGGTTACTGCCTGCCCAGCCGCTGCTTGTCCGAGATACCCCGCATGCACTGTACTGTCGTCTGCATAGCAATGAATATTCCTAAGAGGAATTAAGTCATTGATATGCAGCAGAAAGAGAGTGGGGGATTGGACGGAGCCCTGGGGACATCATTACGTATACAAACTAATTATCGTTAGATAATTTCGTCTCTCACACTTAACAGCATGCAGCAGCTTGTTGTCAGTCTATGGCTACTACAATGTACGACTCACGTGAGATCCGCCACGACTAAATACTACCAACTAAATACGGCCAACGAGAAGTGATACAAAATGTAAACAAAGTCGAAGAAAGGTCATTAGCCAATGCTGGGGTTAACAAATCTTTATCAGAGAAATAATACATGTTCACTTACATTTTGATTGCTGTGTCATACAGTATAAATACAAGTTGTGTAATGTAAAATACAATCTAAATTTAATAATAATTATCATTACAATAATAAAGTATTATAGAGCAGACTCATCTCCGCTGGCAGCACCCGTTCACGAGCATGACGCTTGAACCAGCCACCGCTTCGCTCAACCATATTTTAGGGAACGCAATGACCCGCCTCACACGACACCGCCGAAGAGATTTTTAAGAGAGCATGACTACCCATAACCACTCAACCACTCAATTAAAGCAAATTACCATAGGTAGGACTTTTATCATATTTATAGAGCATGTATTTCAATGAAATGTAGCAAACTGAGTATTATTATAATTCATATTTTAAAATTCTTAAAATTACTTAAAACAAATTCTTAAAATAAGGACATCAATGAAATATGTTTATATTAAGTACTTTTCTATTTTTCGCGGCCGCGGCCTAAAGTGAAGCGCGCGCCGCACTAGCCGCGCCACCATCTAACGAGCCGCCCTTACCACAATGTACTCACGTGAGATCCGCCATGACCCTAGTCAGCAGCCCGAGCGTAGACCGCAGCTCGTGCGGCCGCGGCCTAAAGTGAAGCGCGCGCCGCACTAGCTGCGCCACCATCTAAGGAGCCGCCCCTACCACAATGTACTCACGTGAGATCCGCCACGACCCTTGTCAGCAGCCCGAGCGTAGACCGCAATTCGTGCGGCCGCGGCCTGAAGTGATGCGCGCGCCTCACTAGCCGCGCCACCAAACCGCTGGGCGACACCCACGTGCGGTACGTCGCCAGGAACGCCTCCTGGTACGTGAAGTCTGCGCACACCACACACTTATTGATACACTCCAGGCGAATGGTAAACGAGCTCTCTTTGAGCGCTTTGTCTATACATCTTTTCTTTCTATATATTAAAAGCGTTTAGCCAAGTGCCTTACTGCAAAATGACAATATTTAATAAAAATATATGTGAATAGACAACATTTTAGTTCAATTTAAGGTTTGTGTTCAATGTAATTAAATGACTTGATTTTTCAGAAATAATAAATACTATTATAAATAATAGGTTTAAAGAACATAATACATAATAATGTAGAACTTTTGTATTATATTTAAATAACATGACAAAATCAAATATGCATTAAACTTTTAATACGCCAACTACATGAGGGAAACTGAACAATAAGTTAATCACCAAAAAAGCAAAATTTCAGAGTGAATATAATTTCATGTATTTTATTCTTCATACAACATTATAGGCTATTTGACAGTCCAGACATCGAGGCGGATTGCATTTACCATTTATGGCCTTCATGGCCGAGTCAAATTTCTTCTAGTATTTCTTAGGCTGCAAGGAAGCGCCATCTCTTCGCGTTGTAGGTAACCCGCAATTTTAACGAATTCCTTTACAAGTATAAAATATTTGAAAGAATTAATAATATCATAATGGTGTCAATTCTGTCATGATTCTCTAAACTTAACATCAATCCCTCCATTTCACTCTATGTAGAGAATGCCAAGGTTACACTGTTGTCCTGTTGCCTGTAAGACGCCATATTTGCAAGAGTAACGTTACCGCGGAATATTTGTAAACAGATTTTTTAATTTTGTTTTTTCACTGTATTTGGAACAGAATTATAAACATCTACTTTTATGCAGTTGCTATACACTAATAAATAACGTAACAACGTTTTCAAAAACTTGTCAAATAGCCTATTGTTTAATATATTGAAGCCGTAAAAGCTGCAGTGATTTCTGTGCAAAAGTGAATAAAAAGCACATTTAATTCGCATCAATCAATATACAAACAAATTTTGATTATGATCATTTCATTTAAACTAAGTGATAAGAAAGCGCGTAGTGTTCGCATTACCAACAAGCTAATCAAGTCATCGCAAATCCACTACTATTGGTATGCATCATGTGCGTGCGCCTTTACAATCCAATCTGTGATATAAATAATATAATTTGAGCAATGTCCGCAAAGCTTTAATATAATAAAACAAAAACCAGCTTATTTGTGTCAGCCCCAACTCAAACAATGATCGAACAACTTACACTCGTCCGTTTCTGTAAAGTGAAAGCATGAAAGTTTACTTGTTAGATGCTGTGCTTAGAGCTTAATGATACTATAGGAAATTATATGGGTTACTACAACCTTGCTACATGAAATACCTTATATGGAATCAAATATTTAACTGTAAGCATCCAGTAATTTTATTTTAGAAAGATGTTATTACGTTTTCTGGAATGTATGTAAGAGACAACATTAACTCATGTTAATATTATAGCTATACGACTATGGAAATAATGTGAACAACAGTCTTAATCAAAAGCAAAATTCACGCAGATTTAATGAATAATAATTATTATTCGTTATCTAATTAGATGAGAATATTATTAAAGATTATCATGCAAATGACTGTAAACCAAGCCCCATTTTGTATTAGATATATTTTTGTATATCACTTAAAATTAATTTAAAATATTAATTAATTTCTGATCATGTATATCCTTGTTTTGATAAAAAAGAGCAGTAAAGTCTTAATTCAACAAGAGGATGACTCACAACTTAACTTTCTAATATTTCTCAATAAGATACAATTGGACATATTCTCTTTCCTTTAATGCAAGATGCACTTATCAATGTTTCCGTAAGTATCATAAAAAGCATTTTTTCATACTCATGTTATATTCAAAAATAACCTAATAAGAAAACTGCATGTTATATTCAAAAATAACCACTTCAAAGTTGTAAATTGTGTGTACTATATGCATTGTACACACAATTTACAACTTTGAAGTGGTTATTTTTGAATATAACATGCAGTTTTCTTTTAACAAAATCCATAAATTAATATGTTGTATCCTATAAAGTTATTAATTCAAAGAGTTTTGTGAAAATTGCGTCAATTGAGTCAAGTTCGAAAAAATACTTCTTTGACTGAAACTTTTCAATGCCTAGACAAAACTTACTTATATCGCATTATTATACATTTGAGTTTACATTATTATAAATTTAAATTTACTTTGCAGGTAAATTTTATCCGAAGCATTGAAAAATCAACCCTAAAAGTTGTGTAACTGAAATTAAAATGGCACTACTAAGTTTTTACCTTTGGTAGCTTTAGTAGCCAAAACTATGAGCGCATCGGGATGTCCTCCTCTCACTTCTGGCGGTTCAGTCCTCTGTTCCGTAGTTTTAGTGGATGCCTTCAGTAACAACCAGGCGCTGATGTCGGTTTGAAGTATTATGTCGTCGCTGTCAGCTGTTACATTAGGGGCGCTGTTCGCTTCTATCGTGGGTATCGCTGGTTCTGAGCTACTCTCGCTTCTCTGTAAATATATAAATGAGCAAATTACATTATATTATTATTCTTAGATTTATATAGCGCGATTCGAACTAAATGGCGGTTGTGAAGGTATCAACGAGCGCGACTGTGCTCAGATTTCAGTATGTGAAACCTATACATGTCCATAGAGAATGGATTGCGACATATAATTAAAAACTTTCTGGGATAAGAAAATTTTATGGCACCTATATGAACTATTGCTTCATTGTGCACGATCGCCTTGCCTCTCTCACACTTATCTGCCCAGTTTAAATTTACAGTAGGACAAGAGAAGCTCACAAATTTTCATTTATTGCGCCGCCACTCGCACTTACTTCATAACCGCAATTAAGTTACTATACACTTTACGGCACTATACGATAAAATTTAAAGAAATTGTTTTACCTCTTTGTAAAATGGGTAATCCATTTCCGATTAAATTGAATCAACATCAAGGATTCAATAGATAGCAAAATAAGCACTGGAAAATAAAGTTTTTTTTAACAAAACTTTTATTCAAACTACATGTTTATTTACCTGAGAGGGTACCGGCGACGGTGCCGCTGGAATGACGAGCGTTTCCAACTCGTCTTCCAGCGGGAACTTGCCCGGAGTCGACGCGCCAACGTAAGTGTCATCAGAGTTCTAAATCAAACACAGCAAAATATTAAATAACTAACTTCCGGCAGCTACTTCGCCCGCTTATAAGGAAGTTTTTTGAGAAGCCCAAAGTAACCTAACATTTTTCCGGGACAAAAAGTATGCCTCAGTCCAGCTTGTAAACTACGCCGTTTTTTCTTTCTCATTTATAATACTAGTAGGTTTTAATTTCAATGTTATTGCACATACTACTAAAACAAACAGAAAAGAAACACTTTCGAAGCAGATAAAAGCGTGCAAGTTTAGTTAGCGAATTGAATTTGCACCATTTCTACTAACACTGAAACTGAAAAGGGCTCAAAACGTAAAGTCAGTAAGTCAAGTCAACTTTATAACTTATTCAATATTAATATTATAATTCAAATAATAGTGTATGTTAATAAATAAAGCCCCAAAAACGTGGCAACAATTCACTTTTACATTTGTCATCAGCACCAGACAACTTCTTTACAATCTACAACTGTTTACACTGAGCTGCCGCGTGCTATTATTTAGGGCTATTTAGACATCTATACACGGAGCACGTATGACGTACATATTATTATAGTAAGCAAGGTCAGCGTTTATTTACGGATGGATTCCTTACCTCGCATGGTAACTTTCACTTAACAACTTTCTTTGGTATTCCTTTTGATCAAGCCCCAAGTATTTAGATGCTTAATTTCACTTTCTATGTGATGCAAAAGGAATTATTTTGTTAAAAACATATGGAGACTTACCACATTATTCGTGAATGATTCGTCCGCAGAATGTGTGCTATTATGCGATGATGGCCGTGGCGAGGGCGGCGGCAAAAGTTCGTTGCTCGAATTCATTTGCATCTGAATATAACAAAATCTGATTTTAATAACAATTGGGTGGGCAGTCGTCCAGATAACAAAGGGTTAAAGCCCCCTCTGCTACCTGATCTCATGTAAGTTAAAAGCATAATTAATGATAATTATAAACTTATAAAAACATTTTAAAACATTACTAAAGCAAATGACGAAATCCTGTACCTGCTTATGCTTGCTAGTTTTTGGCGGTAAAGCTGGTGGTTCTACGGGTAATGGACTAGTTCCACTCCATCCAAGCATGCTCTCATCTGAACCACTGAAAGAAAACATTTAAAACATAACATAGCACTCTATGAGTAATTTGGTTCAGGAAAAATATTTTTTTCAGGCTTCACAATATCCAATTCTTCCACTTGACATTTTTCCTTAATGAGCCAAACGAATTTACTACAACAATATTATTGTTGATAATATAATATAAATAGATACCTTAGTGGAGGTGTGCCAAAGTGTTGAACTGTAAAGGACTGAGCGATGGATCGTTGCACTTGTTGATGTCTTTGAGCAGTGATAATACCCGAAGCTGCGTGTTGGCCGCTATAGAAACAAAGAAAAAATATTTAAAATTATCTGTTTAGAAACAAAAATAAAAATACGCTACTATTATATAAAGAAATACGCACCTAGCCAGGTTATATGTGTGTATAGAATGACGGAACATATCAGACGGAGCGGCTGCGCTGTTAGGCGGGTGACTGCAGTTTCCAAACATCTCCATATACGCCATTACTGTACATACAAATTAAACTTGAACGCATGAACAAACTTTATTTTCGGAAAAGCTTTCAATTCAAAACCTACAACACTAACTTATGAACATGAAAAATAACTTTCCAACTAATTCGGGTGTAATTTAACCTTTTCGGGTGAAATACTCTCGAATCACAGCGAAACTATGACTGCCGAATAATTCCACGGCATAGAGCAAGGGCACATTGCTAAAAAAAAGCGCTAAGCACATTACCATCTTACGTGATAATTAATTGCGCGAAAAAACTCCTAGGTTATTAACTGACAATAAGCTGCGCGCCGGCGGAAGCTAAAAACAGACATTTGTAATGAATGTTAACCAAAAAACAAAAATACTCGTGATATTTTCTGCTTGTGAAATAAGCAAGTCTCATTGGTATTGTTTAAAGTCCTTCATACATATTTTATGCTGTTAGACTATACACTGAGATGGAACACACGATTTTGATGATGATGATAACTTTAAACAGTACCAATCGTTGATTGAATCTAATGTGAATGTCAGTGACAGAAGCTGTGACAGAGGACTTTAAAAGCACGCTCTCCAAATAGTATTTTATTGGAGTGGAGTACAACTTTTTCGAACTAAATGTGACGAGGGGGGTACGCGGAGCCTGCTTATCTCTGAATGAGGTAGCGCTTCATGCATTTATCCACTCACCGCTGTACGCGACGCTTTGGAACACTGCCGAGCCGCACCGGCACAACAGACAAACATGCCGTTATAACCCAACATATACCAGGCTCAAGAACCCAACATTTTCAACCCCATACAAAACAATAGTATAGGCAATATAACAGCATTTGTAAACACAAAACTCGTAACAACCCAAATTTTACTGCCCCTATGCAAGTGATAATGATTGTCAACAGTGCACGACATTATTCATAACTGTGAACGAAAATATGTAACTGTGACTGTTCTAACATTAACGATGCATTGTTAACAATCGACATGAGTACAGAAACAATACATAGTAATATTCGTAGCACGATGGAATAGTGCAAACCTTGATATATGCAGTGATTTAAAAATACGTTTTATTAACAAATTACATTTATTAGGCTGAACACTGTCTTATTGTGTTCACGCTTAGTGCACCTGCTCATACAACACATAAATATAACCAGCAGTATAGAAAATGAGAACAGAAAGTTTTTCAACAATCACATTCAACATCCCTGTTAAACCATGTGCAAAAGATTAACCTAAACAGACAGAACTATTTGTAGAAGTAGTATAGTGAGAAAAGTAATCAAAATCATTCTTATTACTGTAAGGAAACACTAACGTTATCGATACATTTTAATCGATCGATTGATTTACAAGGAAACCAGCAATTTAATAAATAAAATATTCATAATTTTAAATGGCTTTTACTTATCTGATAAGTTTGCGAACAAGGTTAGATAGAAAGGAAATATAATGTACTTAGCCAATGTCATTGTTATTTACAGAAAGTTACAGAACAACAAAAACAAACAAAATAAAATCGACACACTTACAAGGAAACCAACACTTTAATAAATAAAATATTCATAATTTTAAATTGCTTTTGCTTATCTGATAAGTTTGCAAAAAAAGTTACATAGCAAGGAAATATAATGTACTTACTACTGTAAAGGATACAATTTTGTCGAATTTAATTTTAGGTTAAGAAAATCATGTCTGAATAGGCTGACTTTACAACAGTTCTGTCAATTTAAGTTCAAAAGTTCTTAGAATAAAGGTAACACTCGAGTGGTTTTTCCTATGCATAACGACCAATTCATACCGGAATGGCAGCGGCTGGCAAACACGCGGCGATCACTTTCAGTGTGAAATAATTGTAAACTTGATCTACATAATTAAAGGCCAGTACCACATGAAATGGTCCCGACGTTTTATAAGCGGTTGGCACCGCACGCGGCTGCGGCCGCTTCTTCAACCTTCCAAGCGATACTGGTCATTTATGTATGTAGATAGAGTATACAATTATTTCACACTGAACGTACTCGCCGCGTTTCTGTTAGCCGCTGCCATTCCAGTGCGAATTAGCCCTAATAGTGTTTGGTTTTCTTTCATTATTCATGCATTTAGGTTTCGTAAATTGATGTTCAATCACGTGGTTCATGTTTCATTTCATTTCTTGTTCCCACTTAGTTAAAATTATGAAAGTATTGACACAGGGAATAATAAATACCTCCAAACGCAATTAAGTAAATAAGTGGAAGTAAGTAATATAATTATGTAGATTGTAAATGTATGTTTGAAAAGCAAGATTGTGCAAGAAATATATATAAGAAGATCAAGACATATAAGTGAGCGTAAAGTGACATAAAGAGAGTGGGGAATAATCAAACTCCTCATTGAGTTCATTCTTAACACACCATTCGTCAACTAACTGTACGTACTCTTATTCCCTTCATTATATAGCCTCTCCTCACTCTATCCTTTCATCTTGTTTTTTATTGTAGTTTAATTATTATTAGGTAGAAAATATGGTGAATGGTTTATTCCAACACCGATCACTTGCTACGAAGCAAGCTTTTCAAGAGATGTTGGCGCAAGACATAACTATAGACATATAGTGGACTGAACGACACTCGCATGAAATTGACAACTCTTGGGAAAGAGAAAAAATATATTTATTATTTATCTGTCCAGTTTACTTTACAGTTGGTTAGGGCACGGTCAGTCATTCTCTATAGTCTATGGTTATAACACAGAGAACCCCTGCTAAAGACCGCATCTAAGGGGACCCGCTTGTCGCACCCATTACTGAATCCGTATTCGCAAGAGAGAAAAGTCAAGAATGATGTTAAAATATAAATTACCAGTGGTCCGCCCTCGCTTCGTTTCGGTGAAGAACTGTAGTGTAGAATATAGTTATTGTTCTCAGGCTTGTATTATACACAATGACTTTCTTCATATAATTATAAACCTTGCGTAAAAAATTATTTAACTGATAGTAAAAACTTTGTTGTGTAGTTTATGGACCCGTTGCATAGAATGCACCATTGCTCTGCTGTTAAAAAATAGGTCCATGCGGTCCCCTTTAATTAAATGTATCTAGTGACGTAGTGGTTTGTACACACCCATCACTTTATCACTCATAATTATTGCACTAAACGTCGCGTCGGATGTTTCGAATGTGATTCTGATCATAGAAATTAGAACATTTCGATTTGACTCAACACGCGTGGCGTGGCGTCGGGTAGTGTCGCGTTTCACATGCCTGATTCGGCCATGTTGTTGTTTTTTTTTTTGGTTGAACGCGCTAATATCAGAAAATACTATTCCGATTCGGAAAAATATTTTTTGTTGGATAGTGCATTTATCAAGGAAATCTATTTAAATTTGACTCGCTATAACCTTTTCCCTCAAAAAAACGCGGGTGAAACCACTACCACAACCACAATAACTGAAATAGTTAGACATAATATGATATCGCGGTCATTTTTGTAGATACTTAAGTCCTCCATAAAACTTTAGTATATCACTTTGCTCTATTATCAATGACTTCCGCAGAGTAAGCGATATAAGGTTATTTTTTGATACTTTTTCACACCCTGGATCACAGGGTTTCACACTTTCAACTTTTGTGAAAATACTCTATGACCTATCTTCATCAGGGATAATGTAGGATTCTAAATGTGTAAGAATTTTTCAAATCGGTCAAGCAGTTTCGGAGCCTATTCAATACAAACAAACTTTACTACTACTCTACTCTTATAATGTTATTAGTATTAATATTAGTATAGAAAACTTTTTAGCGAAAAATATAAAAAAGTTTTTTGTAGCTTTCATTTTTGATAAATACAAACTCGGCATCAAAATCTGTGAGTGAACAATCACCCTAATATCCCCTCCCTTAGTAGGTAGGCTTTTTATTTCCAAATTTATCTAGGACCATTTTTCAGGTATATCCAATAAAAACTAGCCAAGTGCGTGACGTGCCACGCGCGAGGATTTTTCATTAGGTAAGAAATTTTCTAATACCTAAGTTGAATGACTATTACTCTAAAACTTACTGATCTAAACTGTCATGATTTTCAGATTTTTCAAACCGATAGTTTAGCTTTTAGAGGAGGCCGTGGGACACCTACTGGAATAAAAATTGGCACTTTTAAGGTTTAATATTTCGCAAACCTACATCCAAAAATAGTCTCAGCAACCCCTAAGTAATTTTAAGGGACCTATTCAACGATACCCCACACGATGGGGTATACGATGAAAAAAAAAAATCACTTTGTATGTTGGGGAGCTACTAACTACCTACACGAAAAATGATTTTTTTCCAAATTTATATGTAATAAACTCGAGTAATGCGGACTCTATAGGGGGTGTTCTGTAGATTATTAACTAATAACTAGTGTATGGTAGTGAGATAAGATGTTGTAAGGGTCATCAGGTCATCTTTGATCATGAATTATTTCGATATCAAAGAGATTCTGTGGGGCTGTTTACTGAGCATGAATTTTGACAGCTGCGTAATCTTTTCATCGTTTTGTTTTTACGTCCGATAGGGGCACTCCTTATTTTTTATAGAACCTTTGACGATGCGATACGATTATAGAGCTGTCGAAATTCGGGATTAGGCCTCTGCTCTGTAGGTTATAACTATAGTGTATGGCGATGGGACTGGCATGATAAATTGCGATATAATGAGGTAATATAAGGGTACTGACTGTGTTTCTTCTTGAGCGGGAGCGGGGGCGGGCGCGGCGGATGGTGGTCGGCCAGCGTGTGCGGCCGCGCCTCGCCGTGCAACGAACAAATTGGAGTTTGTCTAATACAAAACAATATTGACATATTAGGAATAAGTACCATAGAGGTATAAGAATAGAGTAGGGGAGATACAGACTCTGCTACAAGTGGAAGTGTCCCTCTAATAGAAAGAAGATGAGAGACCGTTAGCTTTTCTCTCTAATCGCGCATGCGCATTGGCAACCGTAAGCATCTTACTATTTCGATGTGATGCCATTGGATGCCATGCGTCACAAGAGGGAGAGATAGCTAGCGGTCTCTCATCTTCTTTCTCTTTCTTCTATACGGACACTTTTAGAGCCGCCTTCCCCACTCTATTCTTATACCTCTATGATAAGTACACGGTCAGTCCATTCTCTATAAGGAGCTCGATGGTGCAGGTGAATAGCGCGTCCGGTTTGCAATCGTGAAAGTAAAGCATCTTCCGCCATGGTAGGATAGGTGTCTAAAAACTTATTATATCGAGCTCTTCCGTGCTTTGAAAGGCACATTAAGCTGTTGGTCCTGACTGCATCTGCAGTCGTTAGCACCCACCAACCTGCACTGGACTGGGCCGCGTGGTGGGTCATGGCCCAATCTCCCTATTCCATCCAGAGGAAGCCCTGTGCCCCAGCAATGGGGACGTTAATAGGCTGGTTATGATGAAACTAGTAGAGGAGTTTATAGAAGTTATCCTGCCGGATAAAAACATCCTACTACAGCGCCACCTATATCATAAGAGTTGTAAGTTGTTTTCTAATTTTCTGCAAAACTTTCGTTACTGTTTTACCGTAAAAACCTCCCACAAAGTATAATTGGAAAATTGGAAAAAAATATGGATGAAGTTGGTATTATTTTTATAGATACGACATTTTATTGTATTTCATTTTAAACATTAAACTACAAAAATATATCTAAAGAAGATTTTACTAAAAAACATTCGGTTGCAGGTTGGGGTCAAATTGGCGTTCTTCGATATTCAGCATTGCACTGACTGCTATGCTACCGAAGGACGCTTTTTCGATTTCATTCGGGTACCAGCTTGCTATCAGCACTATTGATAATATACTTATATTGCCAACAAAACAGATACACTCAATAAGGACCAGTGTCAGAACTGGAAAACCTATTTAAAATATCTATATTGTGAAAACGTTGTAATTTCACAATAAGACAATGACTTGTATATCCATATGATATAACACTTTTGTTTACATAACTTATAAACTTAGCATGATAATAATTTATTCCGTTATACTAAACAACTTGCAAAACGCAATGCAAAAGGACAATTGTTACCTAAGAAAGAAAATGTTGAATATTTATTTAACAACTTAGGCGTACAGCGACATTAACATTTGACCCGAGAAGCGAAGTACACAAAAAAAACATGAAAAAAAAACACTTTCCATCTGCCAACACCGTCACGAATTCGTCATTGCCAATTCAACAATCTAAACAATAAAACAAAACAAACGTCAGTAAAGCGTGTGCAACACCGTTAATTTACGTTCCGCTACGACTTTGAGGTCGTTATGAAGTAATCGCGCGATTTTATATTCTTATATTTTATTTGAGGGCTATATAAGTACGTCGACTCTTTGTATACAAGCAATACATTGATTACTAAAATAAATAGTTTTTTATTTCTACGGAACTAAAAGGGAATTTATATAAAAAGATAAAATTAAACACAGTATATATTGCATGTGTTTTTAAAACACGTTGCCCTGCTAACGAACAAACTGTCAACTTCCGAGACGAATTATTTTTTACGCTTAAAGTAAATGCTGTCACTTTAATACTGAATAATTCAAGACATCACTAATAAGTATTAAATTTAATTATCATCTCCGAGTGCAGCGGCTATTATCGCAAAAGCCAAAACACAGACAAGTTATAAAGATAAGATCAACAGACACATATGCCAATCCAAAAGTAGGAAGTACGGTAAAATCACCTGATTTCGACAGTAGGGAAGTGTTGCTGCACATCCGCGCGTATATTGCGGCGCGTCTTCGCCGGCAGCTCGGGCGGCGTCTCGCTCTCGTCTGAAGTGATGCTCGCCAGTCTGCACCAGTGACACACAGTTATTATTACAACACTAACCGTACCGCACCCTTGACAGTGTAGTCTATAATATCGCACGTTTCTTACCTCGCACATTTGTTGCTCATAGTAATAATTTTGAAACCATGTAAACACGCGTTACTTTAGCAGCGTGTATGCTGACGAAACGTATGTAATTGGAGGAATAACACAGCGTGTGCGTTTCTTTACGCGCATGCGCGGGCATTTACAAAATCTATCGATTTCATAGTATCTATCTGCTGTTGCGTGCGTTTTGGGCTGTGATACTCGCCAGTCTGTCCCAATGACACACAGTAACTATTACAACACTAACCGTACCCTTAACAGTGGAGTCTACAGTATCGCATGTTTATTGCTAATAGGTACTAATAATGTTGAAACTGTGTAAACACGCGTTCGGTACCTGATGCGTGCGCTGACGAAACTTAATTGGAGTAATGGCGAGTGCGTTTTGTACGCGCATACATTAACAAATTCTGGCGGTTTTTTTTCACATCTATCTGCTGTTACATGATGTGCGCTTTTGGACAGTGACACTCGATAGTCTGTACCAACAACACATAGTATTGCACGTTTGCTGATGCAACATTTTGAAAACTGGGTAAACACGCTTTATTTACGCAGCTTGTGCGCTGACGAAACTTAATTAGAGTAATAGCAATAAAGCAGACTCAACACGGTAACAAATTGGAAAACTGAGCTATAAAAATATTTTTTATTGGGGTAATAACGCAGCGTGCGCGTTTTGCACGCACATGCGTATGCGTTTACAAAATCTTTAGCTCTCTTCGTATTTATCCGCTGTTACGTGATAAGCGATAAACGCACCCCGCTGCTCGTTAACAACTGTATAACTATAGTATAACAAAATGCCAGAAGACGCTTTCTTCATAAAAAATAAAATGTTATTTAAATAAAATTAGGTCTCCGTAATTGTTTTTCCAAAAGCAAAATCTCAGTGGGGAAACTGAACTAGTAAAAATACAAAAAACAAACCAAACTTTAAAATTATATATTTCGTCACAAATGCAGCTAGGGTATAGGCTCCTAATTTATGAACTTAATACCTTAAAGTAATATATAAATTACAATGTAATATTTGAATTTTTGTTGAGACATTATTTTAATGTATTCCAATTCCATATTTAGGGGACTGCATCTTAGCTGCGCATTGTGGCGCGATTGCACTTGGTCGTTAGCACGAATACGAGTGCCAATGGAATTCGGGTAACTAAGTGACCGACTAAGTGTAAATAAACGGATTCGAGTACGCCCGTATTCCGGTAGTTTTCTTTTTGGTTATGCGACACTGTCTTCCAGGTCGTATTCCAGTGTAAATATTGCTTCGGGTGCCCGAATACTCCCGAATACGGGCGAACGACCAAATGTAATTGAGTAATTAGAAACAGATCTAATCACTAACAGTGTGAGTATTCGAGTAAGTGGGCAATGCGTAAAAGCGATGTGTTTGCGGTTTGTGAATGTGAAACAACTAATGTCACTCACTTCATAGAATGGTGCGCGGTTATACTGTTCACATTGATTACATTCATGCGGGTCTCAAAGCTTTGTCGAGTGCACCTCATTTCGCTCACACAGTCTGTACTGTCAAAATGACTGCAAAAACATAACAGAAAGCATTGACAAAATTGTACAAAACATACATACAAATCAATGAGTATTTTATATTGAGCTAATCTTCAGCGGTTTGTATAGAAATGTTAAGTATTAACTCGTTTAAGTTGTAATCTGTATGTATATTTAACAAAAGATGAGAGAAATTATAACCCACACACGGAAAGACACAATTTGAACAATAAACACAACACAAAAAGTAAACACAAAAGATGATTATATAATAACGAACACGTAAATTAAGTGGAATGAATGAGTGTTACCTATCAGAGTGACTCGAGTAGTGATGCGAGGAGAACGATGACGTGAAACTATGCTCTGTCGATATTTCCGTGTGTCCGACAGAAACAAACCCGGACTCATTGGAGAAGCTTCAAAGAAATGACATTCACACACTAAGAATAACTCATATTGAATGAACATAAAGCATAAAAAAGAGACAAACAAAACGCAAAAAATAAAAAGGGAGATAGAAAAAGTAACTACTTTTTTATTACCTTTTCCATTTTTCCGCTGAAGAATTAGGGTCTTAGAAAGCACTTTCCAAAAAAGTAAAAAAAAGACTATTCTTTCTTTTCATTACAAGCTCGATGTTAATTTTCTCCCCCCACACTGAAGTCAAATTACATGTGTAAATGATAATACATGTCTTAATATATCTACATGTCATAGAAAAGCTATTATTATCGTCCCATTTTCTGTCAACAATAGCCATAATAGATATAGCGAAAGTCATAGTTTACGGTCATATTATTAGGTTTCGGTTGTTATAAACCCATCAAGCCCTGACCGTGCGGAAAAGGTTGCAATTATAATTTAAGTAACAACACCAAAAAACAAACTTAAGTTCAGTTCCACCAAACATTGTTTTGTTTTTAAAATTACTAAACAGCATTCTTAAGAAATCGACAACAAACTAAAATCGTATTTCAACAAGTAATTTTTAGTTTCATTTTGAAAAAAAACTGCCTACTATTTAAGATTTTGTTCCTCTGTTCAGCATTATTTACCATTTTCAATGTTACTTTCTCAACTATTCCTTTTTGTGATGTGGTGGTTTATAAAACTTAAGCTACCGAAGCATTTGCTAACCTTATCACCCTTTGAGTTATTTCTTTCTGAAACATTTATATTACATCAGAAAGTTTTTTTTTATGTTTTGGAACTTAAGTTGTTTATAGTGATTTCGTAATTGATTCCGTCGCAACATTCATTTAAAAAAACTACTCAATTATAAAATGGGACTTACCGATTATGATTGTTGTGTTGGTGAGTATGTAAAGCACTAAGTTGAGACTCCTGTGATTCAACCGACGTTCTCATCTCACTCGAACTGTTACAACTGCATATACCTGAAGAACATAACAATATTGGCTCACAAAATTGAAAAATAATGATATTTTTTATACTATAAGTACTATATAGGCAATGTGTAAGACGCACATGTTATAGGAGAGAGACAGAATTTCTTGCGTCGGCATTTGAGATTCGTTTTTTTAAGTTAATTATAATTATTTCAATTCTTAACTAAATTTAAATTTGGTGTTCTAGTAAAACAATTAACTTAATCGCATTCATGCTTAAAACAGTCGACCCGACCATTTACAAAAAGCATGCTGCATGTCAGTATTCTGTCAAAAAAGCTTTTTTAACAAAAAATATGTTAGACTTAGCGGAGAAATCGACAACAGACTTATTAACAACATGGAGTCATGGCATCTATATATAACTAACAAATAAAAGAATCTTCAAAATCTATTTACAATCAACTATAGGTAGACCGCTTAACTGAGTCCTCGTCTGCGGGGTAAAGGGTATGAGGGAGGACGAGAACGGGGACCACGAGCTCTATTTTTGAATCGCCTGTCATAGTATCGTCGAATGCGACTTAAGTCACTTTCGACTTCCAAGTCGTATTATGCTGATTTTCCGTATTTTTGAATCTTTCATCTACAGTGTACGGTGCAGTGCAGTGTGTGTGCAGTTTAATACTAAATATTTATTTTTAATAATTCTAATTTTGTCAGAAAGATAAGAGAACGTCGCAACAGATCGTCATCTTATGATCTGTATTTTAAAAAGATTGAGAACTATCTTGACAATATGTATCTGACATAAATTTTACAATTATTCTACCATTCGCCTTCATCGTTAGCCTACGCGCAACGAGTGGTCGAGACCGCTCGTTGACATTGAGCGATTCAAAAATACGGAATTTATTAAGTCGAATCAAAATTAGTTTAATCGAGCAACAGACGCAAGGCGAGTAATTCAAAAATAGAGCTCCATGAGAGGTGTGGTCGGCAGGCACATTTTTGTCAAAATTACAAGTGCCCGCCGCCGCACCTCTCACGGTTCCCGTTCTCATTTTCCCCCACACCCTTTACCCCGCAGACAAGGACACAGTTAAGCGGTTTACCTTAGAAAACCACGTAACAAATATAGCAAAACATGCAATCCAATTGATAAAGACCTCCTTTTATATATACGAGTAAGTTAGAAGTTGGTTTCAAAATAGGAAGGCTCAATAATAATCAAATAAAGAAGGCTAATAAATGATAAGTGGTCATTGCCGCCCATGGACACTTACTTGCAGCACCATGGGTACCACAACAATCGTATGAAGAAATATCTGTTGACTCAGCTGCTTATTTTTAAGGAAACTCACCTAGCATATCGTTAGGCGGGGAGCTAAACACATGATCGTGATTGTTGGTGTCGTGAGAGTGACGTTCGTCGTCGTTGGACACGTTTAGCATGGAGTCCAGCGAGCCGCTGCTGTGCGATTGTAATGATAGCCTGAAAATACGAAATCAACACTTTATATTTAAATAAAAAAATAATGTTATTCTCAAAGGCAGTGAGTTATCATCACCGATACAAACCCATTTTTCAAATGTGGCTGACGAATACGTGATAATAATATGCCGCCACTTCACTTGGCTATTCGTATTTTTCTATTTGTAAACTTGACAACAGTCTCTCCTTTTCTCCTCTTATGGAGACGATAAGGACAACCTGTATTGTTTTAAACTTCCATGGTCACTAACACTATAGTAATTTATGTTATTAAAGGGGTTGATGCTACTGTTTATTACGATTCCCGGATATTTCGGAAAACAAAGTACATGGTAGTAATCCTGTTAATAACAAATTACTATAGGACAACCTGTTGTCAAACTGACAAACAGCAAATATGAGTAGTCAAGTGAAGTGCGTGCGATTAATATACGTGAGAAAAAAACTTTGACGCCCCCTTTTTTTGCACATGAAGGAGAACGAGCAATTCTTTGCACATCAAAGAGAACGACACTATAGCATAGTTAGTTTATATGGAGGAGGAGAAGAAAAAGCAAATATTAATAATACCGTGCGTTCAATGAGTTTTTTGGCCGAAGACCTAAAACGGCCGACCAATAGTAATAAACAATGGTGTCGATTTTGGCATGATTCTCTTAACTTAAAAGTAAATTTAACATCAGTCTCTCCTTTTCATTCTGTATAGAGAATGACAAGGATACAATGCTGTCAAATTTAACTTTAGGTTTAGATAATCATGCCAGAATCAACACCAATGTTTGTGTAAATTATCTACAAATATCGCGTTGTATAAATTATTTTATGATGGTAAACAAACAAAGAAACATAGATTAAAAAAAAATTAAAAAAATTAAATAAAAAAATACTATAAGGCACGTATGCAGATGTACATGCGTATAGTATTGTGGAACAAGTTATTTTGATTGGTTAAATGTTTGGTAAACATTTAACAATAAAGAGAGGCCATCCTCTTTATTGTAAAAATAGGATTTTTTTATTTTTAGTATAAAATAACCAAAACAATATTATTTATTTAGTAAAAGCTACATGTTTGCATCATATCTGATGTCATCAGCGTGCATACCAAACATTTAACCAATCAAAATAACTTGTTCCACAATACTATACGCATGTACATCTGCATACGTGCCTTATAGTATTTTAAATTAGTAGCTATTAATTGGCATGACAAAATACATAAACACGGAGTCGATAAATATCAAGTATTGAGTATTCAAAGTGGTTTCTAAGTTCATTGCACCTACATTAACTTTCACGTCGTTGAGGCGAGCGCGGCAGTTACGGTGTGGTTGCAAACAAGCCCTTTTACCGTGATACAGGTAATCCCAGTAGAAGTAGAAGCACAATGCCTACGCTCCACTCTTGTGTGGTCACGAGTTTTCTATTTGCGATTGGAAACCGAGAAAGCTTCCATGATTGTATACGCGTGGTACCTTACGCAAACGTATTAGGGTTTATTTTGAGAAATCCGTAGCTTTATTCGGAATGGCCATTTAAGTGTGTATATTTAGACTTTGGCTTTAACGCACCTGTCAATTGATAGCGCTAGATGAGAGTTGTCGTTCGCAGATTTACGCTTGGGCGGCAGCGGTGGGGCTAACTCGATTTTCCTGTAACAAAATTTCACTCTTACACGTAACTAGTTTAATGCACATAAAATATATCTTAAAATGAGTGTTACGAAACTTTTAATGAGGCAAACATTTTGTAAAGTACGCTTTTACTGTAACTAATTTAACTTGTGTTGTATGGTTTAAATTAGCTGTTGCATTAATGGACACATACCACTTATATCGTATAATAAAGAATAAATTATATAATTTATTATATAAATATCTTTCACATGTGGTATCGCAAAACACCGGTGATACTTTTATAAAGCAAAGTCATAGTTTACTTACATGGTTCATCAAGTTCTTAGAATTAAAATTTCAATTGTTCAACATAAAATGAGAAATTGAACACATTATTTTAATGCCTAGGTAAGAATACTAATATAATATTAATATCATAGATAAATTATTGGTCTCGCTACTTAGCGACACCAATCATTTATCTATGATTAATATGTATTTTATGGATGTTTTATTCAATAATAGCTTATTTGTTATTGGTATTTAACAAATAAAAAGCAATACAAGTCATTAATGGTAATTAGACTAACGAGCCTTCTTTATACAAGTGTTACAAGCTACCATAAAATTAAACAATTGCTTCCATACATCTACAATAAGACGTAACGGTTATAATATTTTCCTTTTAACAGTACACTTGGCCACACTCGGTTTCTACGTGCAGATCTCGAAAGTATATTATAAGATAACGATCTACCATTAGTGTAATTATATTTTAGTTCATTGTAACCAGATACGTATCTTCGCAATTAATGGCGTCATATGAAACAATGCAACTAAAACATGTGTACCACAATTTGTTTACAAGTTCCAGAGTTTAATCACAGACACTCGAGTATAGTAGATACCTCGCATCTTTTAACGTTATGCAACACACAATAATTATAGATTGGTATAACTGCGATAAATCAAAAAGATTATCTTGTATTCAATGAACTACTTTCGTGATCGGAAATTACGTACAGAGTACTGACGAGTTCGTTATTAATCAAGCACTTTCAGATTCTGTCACAGAAACTATTAAGGAAGTGAATTTAAGAAGACCAAGAGGTTAAATATTTCACTTTATTAAAATCCAAAGGGCTAGACTAATGGTGATTATTTGTATGCTATTTGCTTTATTTTAAAATTACTTGTTGTAGACGTTGTGCTATAGACGTCATGGTTTTTGCATGTAAAAAGAATACTATAGAGTAAGTGGTCGAAAAGTGTGTATTTTTAAAATGTAGTATTAGCGCCATAGTTGCATAGTAATAGTGAATTGCTTGACTCAAAATTTCTACTGAATTTATTGCATTACTACGAATAAAGTGCGAATTTTCTAAAATATGACTTGAACAATGATAATCGATTATTATTTATCTAGAATAGCTTCCGCTCTCGACTAATACGTCCGCATTATAGTAAGTTTTTGAAACACCCAAGGAACGTTACATTTTTCCGGCATAAAAAGTATCTTATGCCTCAAATTCAGGTAATAAAAGATGTGTGTATCAAATTTATTATTAAATTCAAACCCGTGCAGCCGTTTTTTGCGCTATTGTTTAAATAAAAAACATCGAAACATATATTATAAATAATCTATACCTACATATAATAAAATGGTAGAAAAGTCAAAACTGTACTATGAATATTTTTTGAAAAGAATACTTGGGGTGTGATCTACAATCGATGCCGAAGCCAAAAATAAAGTTTTTAGTATTTTTCTCTGTTTGTCTGTATGTATGTCCGAGATAAACTCAAAAAGTACTGCATTTACTTCAAATTTGGCACGAATATTATTAAGAAGTCGGGTCAACATATAGGCTACAATGTACATATTATCACGCCTACGGGGATCGAGCAGTGAACCTTTATTTCTAACTAACTCCACGCGTAAGAAGTCGCGGGCGGCCGCTAGTACAAACATAAAAATGTTACAATTATGAGTAGGAGTTCACTAAAAGCTAGTACTTACCGATTGGGCCTGGCCGGTTTTGGCGGGGGTGTATCAGGAGCGTCTAGTACGGACTCTGATGAGTGCGAAGCTCGCACTCCGGCACCCTCCGACCCACTCTCTCCCGTCAACAAAGAACGCTCTTTAGGCGTCAGAGGTATATCTAAAAACCAAACGTAAAAATAAATTATGATAACCTTTGATTGATGATGAAACCAAAACGAAAATCCCGAAAGGGAAGCAAATAAGTAAATAACATGGGTATTTACTAATTAGTAAAGTACGTAATTGTACAGCACTAAAACAATGTTTACCTATGATGATTAGTACAAAGAACAATACGTTACAAAGGAATTGATTACATTTATAATTTTGTTTTTTTAAGCATGTAACTGTTTGATGTTTAAATCTAAAGAAAATATAATTTGATAGAATTGTTTACATGTTTTCGTAAAGCAATAACATTTTCATCGAGAAAGCTAGGCAAAATTTACGATTTTATAACCTGACTGCAATGCAGCAACTAGGTATCTGTATGTAATGTCACAATGTGTTAAAAAACAAATATTTAGAGCACGGAAAACAGTCATTTTTTTACTCGATATCAAGAAAACTTGTTATAATGCATGCTACTGACCGTTACAATGGGTTAATTGAGCAATTTATCACAAGCTTCTGTGCTTCGGAAGGCACGTTAAAGCGTTGGTCTTAGCTGTATCTACAGTCGTTAGCACCGAATTGGCTCCAGGCCCGCGTAGTGGGTCACGGCACAATTTCTCTAATCCATCCATTGGGAAGACCTATACCCAGCAGTGAGTACATTAAAATGACTATGTACGAACCGGGCAAAGAATTTCTTTGTGTAGAAGATCGCGGGGACACTAAGGCAGGGCGCGGTGACAACGCCGGCCGTGTCATATGTTGTTGGGCCAGCCCTGCCACTTCCTCCACCGCAGAAGTGACCCCCTTCACCACAGAACTGACGTGTTCCGGCGACAAGGCTGGCGCTGACGTGTCCAACTCCTCGTTACCAGCGTCGGCCCGAAGGCTCACTGCTGTGATCTCGTCACACAATCGGATAAGCATCGCCAGCGCCGTGCACAGACGCTTCACGGCACTCATCAATTGTGGCGACCGGCTGCAATACGGTTTTATTTCTGGAAATAATTCAACGGTTTTACAATATGATTTATTTTTCTTAAAACATACGAAACTGTATAAAAAACGGTTAGCTTTTGAAAGCTTACATTTTTTTAAGTAACCTCGTTGCTACATATTAGTTATTAATTCATAAGAAAACATGGTAAATACTGTATAATTATACCTTTATGGATGTTAGCAATAGATTCGAATACAATCGTGCCATTGTCAGGCAGCATCTCCAGCTTCCTTTTTGTTATGACGTCCGAGAAGTGTTTCAGACCGAATGTAACCTGCAATCGCAAAAAAGTGGTGTAGACTACAATGGATGCAATTTATCGGCTGAATGGTCAAGTATGGTGTATATAAAAGGAGCGCCGGCTATCACAGACCTCTTTGACGAGTCGTTCCAGTTCTTTGGCAGGCGTGACTTCCCCCTCCTCGGCCGTGACTGACTTTGCCCCCATGTTCCGAAGCTTCGGACTAAGCGGGGAATGTGATCTGAAACAATTACAATTAAGATATTCTTAAAGAAAAAAACCGCTTTAATATATATATTTATACTTATGAATATATTTTTATATTCCGAAATTTGTTGTCCTGGTGGAAATATATGTCACAGTCAAAACTGATAAACCGAACAAAATCTCTTAACTGCAAAAATACTAAGGCCTTGCCCAAAATAATTTTTTGTCTGATATTTTGGTAAAAAGAATATTATTATTATGACCAACATTATTTAGTCGAAAGTTGTGCTTGAATGAAAAAATACAGAGCAACGAACAAGTCATAAAAGATTTTGTAAAATGGTGTGTTGTGTAATTCCAAGTGTTATTAATAGCAGTTTAGGCAAATAAATTATATAAACAATAATAACAATTAACACTGGTCGTCATACACGGTGTTGGTCACAAACGCAATGAAATCTATATTGACGAGTTTGTTTAAATCTCACAGAAAACCAAGCGGTAGGTTAGATGTTGTGACCATCCATAACGGAATCAACGAAACCACCTATGTGATGGGGTTTATATGTGCGTGCATTAAACATACCCAAATAAAAATAGATTTAAGCCATGTCCTCTCCAGTCAGAACTACTCTTGACTGCAAGAATCAGGCAAAAGTGATTTTAATCAAGGCTCTTACTTTAGTAGTTTTTTACGGTAAATGTGGGTTTGACTGCTTATAATTTTTGAACATAATACACATGAGATGAAATTCAGGAAACCGGATATCATGGGTGGTTTTGATCAAAGTACAGGTTATTAATAACGACTTGATACCAGTTTGAATGGAATGGACCAGTCATTGCTTGTAATTTTAACTTAAAGTCAGATACAAACATTGGTGGATTGAGGTTATGTAGTTTCTGAGTAGTGATCGGAATTATTATTTTAGGATATTCAATATACTAACATAACGAATAACTTCACAAAAGAAGATAGTATATAGTTGTTAGTTCACATTTCCTAGAAAAAGCGATTTCTAAATTGTTAATTGAATAGTGACTTGTATTAATTCAAAGTCACCGTTTCCTATTTATATTTGTAAATTTTGTACAGGTAACCTCTTTAAATTGATTCATTCGTGTGTACGAACTGCTAATGTAATTTATGTATGTGTGTAAGGAAATATGTTTACTATTTATTTACTCGTTTGACATGTGAATGTTAGTAAGAAACCTTTGAATCGAAATATTAATTTTGCTTATACTGAGATACTAATAGACGTTAAATATTTACATATTTCAAAACCATAGGCGAGAATTTTTATTTATACTTAGAAAAATGAGAAAACTTGTGTTAAAAAAGTTAACGAAGTATATCCTTTAATTAGTAATTAAAGTGTTTAAATTTCGAATAAATTCATATTTATCATTGCATTTAATCTAGCACATTATTACATAAAGATCACTAAATATGCCGCTGAGTGGAATGTATTGCGAAACAGGCTGTTTTGCATGCGAAGCCCACACCGCATAGCTAATAACGACGTCGAATCTTATTTGATATTCAGGTAGGAGGTCCCGGTTCACCTCCATGCACGATCAAATAAAAATACGATGAATAAATAATAAACATTGAATTCAAAACTGTGCATGTTGACAGTCGCCATGTTTTAAATGCTTCAGATTATTAAGAAAAGTTTGACCGCAAGCAAAACCATTGTGGTCAATCAAACCCACTTGATCGATTTAGGTCAAGTTTGTGTGGAAATAGATAAAACCTTACACTGCAGTACTTTCATAATATTATAAATACTAACATTATTCGACGTTCACTAATAGATTTCACAATGAATACTTATGACAATAATAAAGTGTCTACTAAGTGTTACAGTTAATAACAATGATTACATAAGCAATTTGGGTTTCAAAACTGGTCATGCCCAAAACAATTCCACCCGACCTCAACATGGAAAACACGTAACTTATTCAATGAATTCGTACCGTCCTCCATTGTTAGCAAATCTCCGCTGCAGTTGATTCGTCCGTTTGTTGAACCAAACACCGACACCGACGGGCGAACGCACCGCGTTCGACATTTATGTGCAAACACCCGAATCGCAACGCGCGAGCCGTAAAGAACACTTGACCACACTAATCGCACCAACGTTTCACAGACAGAACTACTTTCGAACAACCTCAGCGGCCGGCAATAAAACTCGCGTCCACCAGCCGAACCGTACACAATAAATAAAAAGCTATTCAGTCACGCTGACAGGCCAGGCGCGGACATTATAATGTAATCACTTAACATTGCACGCACCAACTAATGAGACTTCAGCGAACAGTCGGTAATGAGTGCGACAGCGACGGGTCGCGGTCATGACTCACAATAACATCCACATTTAGTGCAATGTCTACATTAATGCCTTACAAACGGTAAAGCACTACAAGGCCCCTCGAACTCAACTCAAAGGTTACTAACACATGACCGACAATAAATACGTGACTATTTTATGAAAAATCCGAAATTAAATATGTTAATATAACAATGGCATTGTACTCCACTAACGGCTGAGATAAAACTGTTAAACTAAACGACACTTTCTTACATCGCTGTTGTCATAAAAAGATAAGAAAGTTATGTATGTGAAATTATCATTTAGATAAGGGACAATTTAGATTGAATATGTGATCGCAATGTATACAAGCCGTCAGAACTCAGATAACATTGAGATACAAATGATACTAGTAAGGAATCCTGGTTATTCAAACAGTAGTTTCAAGATGTTTACTGTTAATTAATTTTATTTTTAGCACCAAAACTATGATTCGAAATGTATTTGTAAAATCACAAAGTGTAGTTGGGAGACCGACAAGTACCTGAAGTACCCCACTATACCGAGCCGTACTAATACTGATAACACTGGTCAACAACATTTAGTGACAACAAATGTGTTTACTAATTTTAGTTTTTTACAAAAAGTGTCACAGTTTCTACGATCTCCCAAAGACAACTTCCCTTTGGAGAAACCTGGTGTATATAAGATCGACTGCAGCTGTGGTAGTTCATATATTGGCCAAACGAAGCGAACAATAGCGTGCCGAATGAAAGAACACATAAAAGCAGTCAGAAACAATGATAGGTACGCAGAAATCAGCTATCGCGGAACATTTAATCGATTCGGGTCCTAATCACTGGATTGAGCTCCATAATCCACCAATCATCTCGACAGAACGCCACTACATACCAAGATTGGTCAGGGAAGCGATTGAAATAACCAAACACAAAAATTTCAATCGTGAGGACGGGTTTAAATTGTCAAGTGTCTGGAATCCAGTGGTTCGTATGTGCAAAAACCGCAAAAATCAAAAAAGTGTCGTTCCGCTATCTGATACTGTGAGCATTGTGTGTCGGGAACAGGTGCGAGTGTATAGTGAGAATGTGACCAATGGTAAGGGTATCGATCGCAGTAAAAGACGACGTCAGAGGGTAGACCGATATGTCTGCCAATAACATCTACCCGCAATTACTTCAGTTACTCCGTGATCATGGCGCTTGCAACTGTGCCGAAATATCGGAGACTCATAAAAAACAAGGTACATGGTAACAATCCCGTTAATAGATATAATGTTAGTGACCATGAAAGTTTAAAACAATATGTGTTTACTAATTTAGATATTAGGTATATGTAATACAACTTATACATAAATATATACTTAACCTCAGTTTATGATCATATTTATTTTGATTTCATCAGGTTCAGGTTTTCTTGTTACAGCTATTACCAAAAAATTGAAAAAAAAATACAGTTGAACACAGAACCTCCACCTTTTTTGAAGTCGGTTAAAATTAACTGTTTTTGTTACACTTTCACCGAATGGTAAAATAAAATAATGGATAAATCTCTGAATATAGATTTATTTTTATTTAAAAATCCTAGTGCTTTTTTTGTTTTTTTCTGAGTTAAGTGATTTTCAAATAATGTCAAGAAAGTGTAAAAAATGGTCCTGTCAAGTTTTGTTACGTTTGTGGCGGCATCAGTATTACTTTTAAAGCTTAGCGAAGTAATTTGATACCATCAGTAACTAAGTTATATGAATAATATTCTGGATTTGCTATCGGATAACAATGAATTGTGGGTTCTACACATCTCTTCTGTTACATTGTGGGTCTTCTTACTGGATGAGAATAAACTCGATTTTATGACTTTTGCCATTCCTATGATTTGTACGAAAAATATGAACAACAATCATCTGATTTTTATTTTTGTCTCACTGATACAAAATGTATTATTATTGTGCAAAAAGCTTAGATTAAAACATTAATCTAAGGCAAAAAGTGAAACTAGGTATCCTGGCCTGCCATCAGCTAAATGAACAATCCTCATAATGAAGACCTACCTGTACCAGAACCACCCCAAAGTTCCTATCTGACCGCTACGCCAGAAACAATCAAAAACGACACATTCGACCCTGACTTTCAAAAAGCTTCCTCATCTAATGAGCATATTTTTTGGCCCTCAAATCAGAAAATTGAAGAATGATGAAATTAATGAAAAACAAAACAGCTTCAAACAAAAGTAACTTCTAGGAATTCACCAATCAAGTGACTATGAATGTATTTATGGTCACTTGATCTAGTTATGTACTTATCACGCTTTGGTTTGTAATATGTCGTTGAAAATATATTATTTTCAGTTACATTAAGACTTTTTTCCTGAAAATTTGGGCACCGTCAGCGATTAACTGCGTTAAAGATTCCACCAAGTCATATCTGCTATATAAAAACGATATCCGGACAACAGTAACCCGCGTATGCTAGCTGATTGACATTACAAAAAGACGTCTCTGCAAGATATGGACAAAAATCATAAGTTACATTTATATTAATGTTGCAATACACATAGGTACACAATGTAACTTTAAATTTCAAAATAATAATAGGAGATCTAATGGCAATAAAAATATTTTTGAAGCATTCTTATTTATTTTTATTGATGTTATCCTTGTCCTTAACACAACTAGACAAAAGTTTTCATATAACATGCATAATGTGTTGTGAGAAGTTGTGTTACTAAGCTTATGAGGTTATTCCCAACAGTTTTACTCCTTTCCTGCTACGTTTGATCGGGGGCGTAAGAAAAACTATAGAATAGGTAGTTAGTACATGTTCTAAAAGTTTACTGTAGTCACACATAAAACAGAATAAGTATCCGTACTTATACATATTCTTTTTTAAGCATTTAACTGCTATATGTTTAAATGTAAAGAAATTATTACTAGAAAAAAAACACGCGGCAGCAGACGGGACACTGTGTTATCCTAAACTCGCAACTAATTTCAACCACATGATGTCTCTTTAAGCAGTTATTACCGTTGCATATTATTATGAAAATAAAACTAAAGTTCTTGTATCGTTAACCACATCAGAAACTGGGACATTTAGAGATGGACATATTTTCACGCAACACAGTTTTATTAGATTCGCAATTCGACGTAGCATTACAAATCTGCTTCATATAAGCAGTTAACCTCAAATGTATACTAATATTTATCTTCAACTGCAAATTAGTCCGGTCAAAGTAAAAGCTAGACAGAAAAATAAGAGTTATGGTATACATACCCGAAAAAGACGTTGATGAACAGAAACTACGGTTGCTAATTGCACTTGTTTTTTTTTTTTACATTTCGAGTGTTTTTACAAAACATGCATATCGATACTTGTGGAGTTGAATACTTTTTTTAAAAGCTTCAGCACATTATTCTCATAGTTATACCTACGTATATTTTTAATATAAGTTACAATCACGGATAGAAAAATATTTTAACGTGACGCGTACTTATGCATATTATGGCAATGGTTATATCTCAGGAACGGTGTCTCTTAGGAAAAACAGTTTTTTCCTTTTTTTTAGATTATTTTATGATCTTTTGATGTCTAAGACAATTTTACGATAAAACATACTGTTTCGATGAAAATAGGACGATGCATGGGGAATGTTGATATGTTATTTTTAATTATGTTTTGAAAAATTGAATTTACTTTCAGCTTGATGGGAATTTATAGAACTTTGAATGTCTAAATTGACCGAATTAAATGTTAAAGGAGATTGCTCAGCTTCCATACATGCTTGGCCTAAAGGCCAATAATCATGAAAAATTGTTTCCTAGATTCGAAATTATATATAAATTACTGTAGAAACGAATATTATTGACGGACACCCCTGAGAACTTCTATAAACCATAAACACTGAACATATTAAAATAATAAAAAACAAATAAGTTATATAGTAAACTAGGGAAATCAAGCCAAGTACCGAAATTATGGATTAGATTCAGGTATATATAGAGCATGTAGATTCACAGATAGTTGCCTGTTTTTAAAGTTAATGCATAAGAGTAACTTTTAAAATCAGGTGTCATCTATGCATTTCCGGTTATAATAAGGTACTCTGTGACAGAAACTGTGTGATGATTGTGAATGAGCCACAGATTAGAGAGAATTTTTAAACTCTCGTTAACCAAAGAAAGCTAAGAGATTTAGGTTTTAGCCATATATTCAGTAGCTTCATTATTTTTGTTATGTTTTTAATATAACCATATTTTAGAGTTTTAGTGTATCACACCTTATAAATTTATTTATTTATAGTCAGGCAACGTAGTAACGACCTCCTTGGCCGAGTGCGTAGTACGCCGGGTTTCATGGTGTCACGGTGTTACTATAAATCAGTTTATAGTAAGTATTAGAACAAAATTTGCTTCAAATGTGTTAAATTAACAAACTTTGATTAGATTACTGCCGAAAAAACGAAACTTAACATATTAAAAAAAAAACGCGTTTTCTTACGACGACAACTTTACTTTTCAACGGTCCGCGCGTGACTGTGGACCAAGAATTGCTTGAGCTTGAGAGGTGTTCAAGCACTTCTTGATTGGGACACATTTTGAGCGCACGTAGTGTATCTAGGGTATTTAATATTGTTGGTAATGACACTTTTTAAACACCTTCAATAGAACTTTGTCAGATATGACATGTTTTTCATGTTTCAATAATTTTACAGGGATGGAGTCCCAGCCTGTAGCGCTATTACTCTTAAGCCCGTTTATAAGAGACTCAACTTCAGCTTCGTCGGGGGCAGTGAAATAATTTTTTTGATTCCAAGTTCTTGTTTGATTTAATTATATTATCAGCCAGGGTCTATGTTATACAAATAAAGATTGATGTATGTTAATTTTTTAATGAATATGTTTAATGATTTTCAATTCTGTGGAGCATAATATTATAAAATGAGCCTACGAAATCAAAAACCCTGAACGCCTACAATGCATGTAGCATCGTTTATAAGTATAACTATTTAACAAAACTGCTAATAAGCTAACAGTTCTAAAAACAGGGTTTCTTAAAGTGGGGTCCATATGCATGGAGCCCTTAGGGATCCGTAGCAAGTATATCAAGGGGACGCTGCAGCTCAGTACACATTTAATTAAGCATTAGTAAGTCAGTGTATAGAAATCTTAATAAAAACATAAAAGCCTTGTTTGCTTTTCCTAAAATATTCTTAGATGATTTCTCGGATACCTCCGGAAGAATCTATAATATTCTGAGTCCTGAAGGTGGTCAGTGACTTCAGATAGATTGTGAAAAAAATTAATAGGATTTTGGGCTTCTTAACAAAACTATATAAGATAGCATAGCACCATTATGTTACTCCATTAAGATAGCATAGCACCATTAGCTACTAAACTGTTTTTATCTCGCAAAAAAGTTCATATCCCGCATAGATTGCAACTGGAATCGATTTTAATTGTAAATGTAAAATACTAATATTTACAAATTTTGATAGGTTATGTAAATTACCAATGATCTGTGAGCTCATTATTGAAGTAAAAAGATTTGACAACCGATAGTACCTGATAGCGGACGAGAGATGTGGTGGGTGATGTTGTTGCGCTGGAGAGCGCATATTGGAGATACGCTCGAGCAAGTCGTCCTTAAATGAGCGCGCTCGCCTCGCCAGCTTGTTGGCACCACGCAGAGAGCCGCGGTGCCCCGAGCCCGGTTCGCAGACCTCGTTCTCTGCAATCACGATCACTGTTTAATACATCATCGCCAAGCATTACATCATTCTCGTACATAAGTACTAGATGTAAATTATTATCAACAAAATCCAAAAAATCATTCATCGTTTGTAACGAATAAACAGAAAAACTACTAGATTCGTTTTAAAAAAAACACCATTGGAATGCTGATTTATCCCTAAGTAACAAAGGACTTTATTGTATCGCGCTAAAATAAAGTACAATCGTGCAAATCCATGGCGGATCGCTAGTACGTACTAAATAATAGGTCTTAAACCTATGAAAGTTCAAATCACTTTTATTTTTTAAATAAGGAATTCCTTTTTTTTAAATAAGTCATTTGTTTAATGTTTAGTGTTTTGTTTTCAACGCATTTGTTCGTGTTTCGTCTTCATGGCCAGACTTGCTCCAATATTGAATCAAATACGACAGATGGAAATATTTATGATAATGAAGAGACAATTGATGCATCCCTTTTCTTAAAATAGCGTGAAGAAATTCTGCAAGAAGAGGGAAATGATGAAGAAGATATAATTGTGGAAGTAGAATTAGACGATTATCTATTTTAAATAATATAAATATTGGGAGCGATTTCAGTATTTTGACAAAAAAATACTTGCTAATAGTATTAAAAATTATGAAATATTAAAGATTTTTTATTCTATGTCACGTGACCGAACACTAAAATGACGTCATCTGCTTGTAAACATGTTGCGAAATGACATTATATATATATATATATATATATATATATATATATATATAAATCAATTGCTGTTTGTTAGTCTCGCTAAAACTCGAGAACAGCTCAACGGATTTATCTTATCTTGATCTTGAAATGTTCGTGGAACATAGTAAAAACAACAATTTTATTTTTCCATATAAACTGTTCTACCTACTTTCCTGTCAAACAGTTGACGTTCGTTTCGGTACGGTATCATTTCCTCCAAATTAATATTAGCGGTACGAAGTTCGCCAGGTCAGCTAGTAATTAATAAATATTATCTATTCTTGTCATGATAATGGAAAAGAGGAACTATTATCCACAAGTGGATAACTTGGTTTATCATACACACTTCCAACGCCCATTTCACTCCTTTAAAGGAATTGAAGTCATCCTTTCAAGGATGAAAACTATCCTTCGCTCTTTTCCGACGACCTCCGTGGCCGGGTTTCATGGTGTCGATGTCGCCGACTCGAGAGGTCCCGGGGATCGAATCCCGGTGGGGGCAGATGTTTGTGTGATGAATACGAGCATTTGTACTCCAGTCACGGATGTTTTATATGTATTTCTATATATATATATATGTACTATATATGTATTCTATCCGTTACCCTAGTATCCCATAACACAAGCTTTACAGTGCTTACTTTGGCGCTAGGCTAATTGGTGTGAGTGTTGGAAATATTTATTATTATTATTATTTATAATTATTTCCGGGACTCAGACTATCTCAAAGTATAATGTTAATTCATTTAAAACGATTTAGCGGTTTAAGTTTGACGAGATAACAGACATACTTTTGAATTTAGTATGTTATATGTACCATCCAAAGAGTTTTCTATAATTTTGACAGAATTTCTGAAATTTTAAATTAGAATGGCAGACTGTATACATATTTTTGTAACGAAGTGTGAATATATTAATTTGTTTCAGAACGTACACATTATAGTGTCCATTATGCTGTATACATTAATTTGGTTCATTGAGTGAAAACATAATATATCCGTCATATAAGCTTGTTACAATAATTTGTAACGAAGTATGTACCCTTATTTCAATGGGTACATGTACATATTTGTAACTTTATTTGTAGTCGACTGTACCCTCTCTTCATTTTTATAATTTTATCTCCAGTGACATATTATATGATTTTCCATTAACAGATCTTGAAGTAGTCCTCAACCTGCTGCTAACATTTATAAACAAGGCAATAGAGTAATAGGTCAATGGTATACATAATTTAATTAGGTATTACAAGGCCAGTAGCTTCAACAAAGTTATAAAATGAGTCTCTGACATCAACCACGTTCGATACCAAGGCTGTTTTTTTTATATATTAGGAGATCAGCACTTATACTATACAATACTTTAAAAGATGAATTTATAAATTTTCAATACAATACTTAACGAAATTTACAAATAATACTCAAAAGATATTTATTTATATTTCACAGCCTATCAATGTACCTACCTCAACATGAGACACGAGTGTGCCGATGACATGATTGGTAAGTATCCCTACCATATAAGGAAACCTTCATCCAACCACAAAGTATTGAGTAGTATTGAGGTCGATTTCAACGAATGCTGAATTGTAAGTATTAAATAATAATAACTAAATAATACTGGGGAATGATTGTATCGACAATACGAAATAGGTATATGTAAATCATTTTGTACATACAAAAATGTCTAGAACTTTTTAAGTAATGCAAATAGGGTTAAATGGTCTACCACATTTGAGCCTTTTTATTGATATATATTGATTATAAATGTCAACGATGAAAGCAAACCAGAGACTGAACAAAAGAACAAAATTATTTGTTTGTACCTGAATTTAATGACGCAAGGCAGCTTCTTTGTCATCGAAACACTGCATTCACGAACACCTTGTTTGTTTAAAAAAGAAGACAAGTGATTTACGAACGAAATTGGATTATTCAAATCCTAGAGGAAACGCTACTGATCTGTAAACACTGTTCTGGTCTATCACAACGATGATGCACGTTTATTTATAAACGAGAAGGCGACAGGAGGACGCGCCCATGCCGCGGTTTGCGTCGACTGAGCGCGCTACAGGCCGACAGTCGCCGACCCATACGACCATAATGCGTCATACATCAAATCATAAGCACTCCCTGATATTAAAAACGCACTTAGCATGCAGCTTTGGTGGCCACAGCCTGCCCTATCGTCTCCGCTCTGCCCTTCGAACGTAAGCACTTGATAACCGAAGAGGAAACATGATAAGGAATTTCAATAGTGACACAGCAAACGCAGTCAACCTACTTAATAATAATAACTTCTTTGAGAACTTTGAAAACAAGTAAAAAATAAATAGCATTCGATGATAAATAAGATCTTTTAAGTAAATCTAAAAAAAAAAAAAGAACTGCAAGTTATTGAACTACTAAGTAACCGCGCGGGTGGGTATGTTTAATCATAGCGTCATACGATATGCCTAAATATGTTGTTAAAAGGCAGAAAACATCACGATCTGAAGAATTATCACTTAAACATTTATTACTATAGTAAACAGTTAACAATCCTATATGGTCATAATGGTAACACAGGCGTAATAGGTATTTTAGATAACACATCAATATTCTATACATAAATCGTTAGCGTCTATTTGCTATTTCTTATGTAATTTTGACAGTTTTATAAGGTGGTACTTTCCAAACACTATTGCGTTCTAATGCAATTTTAGGCTATTTTATACTTTCATTACGAACATCTACATTCCGATCGCTTATTATAAGCTTTGGTGTTATAAGGGAAACTTACATCTCTAATTTTGTATTAAAGTATTTGTGATTGTGAATACCACTGTGGTGAAATGATTCTTTTACTACACATTTAAAAAGGGCAACAAAGATCTTTATTATAATAAAAAAGGTAAATTTAAAAAATCAAAAAACCCGACTGCTTAAATATTACTTCAAATAAAAACTGAAAAGAAAAAAACAAGTCCAGTAGTCTATAATTCTGTTAAGTAAGGAACAAAGCTACTTTAACATTCGGGACCCATTAGATATTTAAGGATGGGTCAAATTTTTTCAATAATGGGTCCCGACTGTTAAAGTAGCTTTGTTCCTTACTTAACAGAATTATAGACTACTGGACTTGTTTTTTTCTTTTCAGTTTTTATTTGAAGTAATATTTAAGCCGTCGGGTTTTTTGTTTTTTAAATTTACCTTTTTTTATTTTACCCTTTTTAGTTAGGATTATAAGACGGTATTCGCTATGTGCACGACAGTAGCGCCACCTACAATGCGCAACTTTCCGGGATTATGCCAAATAATGACATCAGTTTGTATTTTATTGATTTCTAGTAAATATAGTAAGGTAAAGATAAATAAAAATTATTATATATTGTATAATAATTTAAATAATGTCGGATTTCAATTCGGATTTCAGTACAGTCAATAATAACTCTTGTATTGATGTAATCTGGACTGAAACACTTGGGCATTGGTGCTTGTACGGTGGCTCTATTCGGTCAAAAGATTAAATTAGCAGTTGAACAAGCTAGATTTTGTAAGATCGAATGAAATATACGTGAGATTGTGGTTTTTTTGTACAGCCAGTTTTCATTTTTATCAAAAAAATCAGAAGTCGGTCTTTAGTGGAAACTGTACATTTTCTCATAGTTAATCTTGTTAATAAAAACTCAAAATTGCTAAATGACACACCAGAAGGATCTAGGAGTTCTTGATCATTTGTTATTGATGAAATACCAACAAATTCTTGACTTTTTGTTTCGGTAGATTGATCCTCATACGATTTTTTGTCAGTGCCACAGCTTTTATCTTTCTTTCTTGAATTATTTGTCATTAAAATTCTTGATGTTGGATCACAGTGATCACTGTAAATTAATCTAATACAAATAAAAGTTGTATCTCTTAATTTCGATTCAGAAAACATATTGACTTGACATCCTTGATCGATCATAAAAGGTTGAGTTTGATTTAATTCACTCCCTTCTTCAATTATTATTTGACTTGATGTGGTATCTGAGACTTTTGTGGTTCTTCGTTTTGTCAAGCGTGTATATCTAGCTAGGACATGTGAATCATTAACCTTCCTCTTTCGATATATTTCAGGGAATATCGTAGGAGCATAACTCGGATTTTCTTCCTCGTCTGATTTTTTGTTTCCCATAAAATGTTCACTACAAATTGTGTCGTCAGGTTTGGGATACCATGGCGACCCATCAACACTAAAATAATAAAGACAATAATGAATATCACATAAAATATATAGCGCAAATAAAATTGATCATAATTTAAGGTTATTTCGCTTACTTATTTCTTTTTATGGCATCTATCCATTTATTTCTTTGATTTAATTTCCAGTCCAATGTAGGAAATACATACACAGACTATTTGTGCCCTTATTTTTGCAATTCACAACACAACAACATCTATTAATAGGCATTTTAAAAAATTTTTGTTTATTACGAACTCCGTGCAAATTGACTTTACTTTCCCGGATTGTTGCGTATTTCTGCCACGATAAGCGCTGCGATCGCTTCACTATACCCCCACCATGTACTTCGCACATAGCGAATAATACTGCAGTCTTGTCACTTCAATAAGGGAGTTAATATCAAGCGGATTATTAAGTACCTTGCGGTGGTCTAAACGACACCTTACCATCGGGGTCAAGGCGTTATGGGCCTCAATTTTCGCAAAAATGTGTAAAGTTAAATCAATTCCTTATCCGTATATCTAATGAATGTAAATTATATACTTAACTAGTACTTATTTTCCGTATTTTTTCAAAAAGTCATCTTTTGCTTATGTTCTTTTTGGTAGTTCATAAATAATTCATTTACTTTTATTCGTCGACTATCTAAAATTGGCAGTGGCTGTATGCAACTCTAAGATTGTGATATACACAAATGCAGTGAATATCCTTGTCTCATAATTTGTTTTACTTACATAATTCACAGAACCAAATATGTAGGCGCCAGAGGTTAAATATTATTATCCTAACTATCTATACTAATAGGTATTATAAAGAGGCAAGAGTTGTATGCGTGTAACAAATAATCTCTCAAACCTTATCCGATTTCGAAAATTTATTCACCATAAGGTAGCTAGCTACATTATTTAATATATTTTTAAGCATTAATCTTAATAAGTTGATTAATCTGCTCGATTTATAAAACTAAAGAAACTTTTACTTGAAAAATTCTAACAACTTCTCCGAGATGTTTTTTTTAGTATTTTTTTTTCTTTATAACTACATTATATTCGAGTGACATAGGTTATATTTATTTTATTTTTTTATTTATACTTTATTGCCCAAAAGTATGTACAAGTGGCGGACTTAATGCCATCAGGCATTCTCTACCAGTCAACCGGAGAATTTAAGCAAAAATCTTAAGGTAGTGCAAAAAGAATTCATCAAATATTATATTCTATACCGTTAAAATAAATTTTGCCCATGCAATGTCGGAGCGGATCACTAGGTATAATATAATATTATAGATGCGAAAGTGATTTTGTTTGTTACGATATCGCGCCCTAATAGCTCAATCGATTATGATGAATTTCCCTAAAGAAATAAATGAGGCCTTGGTTCTAAGCTACATTATCGAAATATCTATAGGAGTAGGGTGATGGGAGGGGTAATTTACCTATAAAACTTTATATTATTTGCTTCAAATTTTGCAGAATTATCTGCAGAATAATATGAAGTAATATCGTTAAAATAAACTTTGAAAAGCGCTTTATTCTCAGTTTTTCATTTAATTTAAAAAAATATAAATAAATTCCTATTATGATAAATTATTTTTCATCATTTAATAAGAAGAAACTTTATCACAGTTTTATTGTAAGTACTTCGTATAGGATTAGATACTGTCTATAGCCCATTTTTTTTTCTTTTCCTCCTAGGTTTTAACTACGTTTATAAACACCAAAATTCATTACTTTTCCCACCATTCCCGCAGTATATTCGTACTCCTGCATAGCACAACGCGCAATCACTTTGTCATCGTAACATCATTGTAACTTTTTATATATTTGTCGAAATTACACAGAGTAAAAGGCAAAGTTTATCGTCTTTAAATATCAAAAGCGATGAAAGTATTTGTTTTGATAAAAAATAATTTGTTTATACAAAATATGCATTTTGGAAATGTATTTCAAATAATATTTTATTTTTGATTCACTATTTTAGCTATAATGACTTAGACATTAAAAATATATATATGCTGTCCTGGACTTTTTTGTAGAACTATATAAGAGATACAATTCTACCATACATTTTTATTATCAGTTGTGTTCACAAAAAAAATATTTTGTTTTGGTAAATTGCTAATATTCTGGGTACTCTCCCCAGTCATTCGAAATCTGTTTACCAGAGCGGTGCGGCTAATCAACACTAGAACGCGTTTTTTCTTACGCCACTATGATAAAACTGGCAAAGTCAAGCAGATTGTCTGACAACATGTTTGAAGATAGAGTAGTGATGAAAACTAATATTAAGAAATAATCATTATAACTGTAAATACATGATAATTGAAAGCAAATAAATATTTGATTTAAATGCCATTATTCTTTGTTTTATTTTTATTCATTAACCGACTAACGAATAAAATAATTTATCCGTCATTCGAATAGATTTTGCCCAAGTCTGGCTGTAACGCTTATTTAAAATTACTTATTAGTTAGGGTGTAGGAAATGTCTTTCAACAATCTGTAAAATATCGAGCTAATCATAGTACCAATAAGCGAAGTAGTGAATTCTGTTGCTATTATTCAATCCAAGTTTTTATCTACGGCCTTAACATTATCGCAACAATGGAATATGGACACAATAGTGCGGTTTCCCGCGTCTCTTATGCCTTGTTATACAAGATCAAGCATTTCATTAAAATGCAGCTCTTTACAAAGCGCAACGAACGAGGAAGAAAAACCGAACCGAAAACTCTCCAGTTTCCAACTCGCATTCTCTTCCGTTTCTGTCTGTGGAAATAGATAGAGCATTACTTTGTATCATGTTACATACGACTTTCAGTTTTGCAACATGGCAATGAAACAAGCTATCGAGTTACTAATGTAATATCAATTGGTCCAAATGTAGAAACGGCCTTAAATCAAAACGTCCATGACTGGTAGTACATTATTTTCTTTAGCCCACCGCCGCGTCATACTCTCCAAGAACTTATATAATTTCATGGTGCTAATAAAATAATGCTCTTATTATATTTACTTAAGGTGTAGAGTGTAGAGATCAACGCTACTTACATAACTAATTTAAAAAATAATATTCCAAGAATGGAATCAACGCATATTTTGTAAATAAGGTTGTCGAAGAAGGTTACGATTTATTTTAGTTAACTTGATTAATTAACTACCTCGGATAATTTTGTTGCAGATTTGAGGATAGAAAGCCCTATAATAATTAAAGCAAACGGATTTTTCTTTGAATCTCTGATACAGTAGAGTCCAATAATATTGCTGCATAGTAATAAGGCCACATTTTGTACTATTTTCTACGTATAAGAACTATCAACGAAAGTGACAAACATCAATCACAAGTTAGTGCTTCAAAAAATTATGCTACTGAACATATCGTCGATATGATCATATTTTTAAACTTTTTAGGCATCTCTCTTTTAGGTATTTATAAAATGGCATACCTATAGATTTTGATAAGTGAAAAGATAAAATCAACATAACATCAAAAAGTTATGAAATTTGAACAAAAGAAGATGTTATTCATACCATGATTGTTATTTCCAGATATTTTGTCTCCAACGAGTTGCCTGTATATTCCAAAACCAGGAGCTAGTGGTGTCCGGGAAACGCGTCTCTGCATCGGACGACGCCGCGCATCCACAATCGAATATGAATTTTTAACATCAGCATTACTCGAAGCACTTGCCAACACTTCCTCCGCAGGGGATACATAATATTTCAATTTTCCATCTTCTAGTAAATTTTGGAGACTATTCCCGTTCCTTATTTTTGGTTTTGATGTATCATTCCTCTTGTTATGTTTAATGGTCAAATTGT